ATTGTTGGTACCTTTCCCCCCCAAAATCAATCCCAACCTTCCTTTTGTGGTATTTAACCTTATGGTCAAATTTCAAAAAGATCCATTCACTTAAACTAAAGTTAGAGTGCGAAAACCAATATGTATTCGGACGACGACGCCGGACAACGACGACGACGACGCCAACGTCATACCAATATACGACCACAAAATTTTTTTGCTGTCGTATAAAAATGACCTTGACCTTTGACCTTGACCCTTTTTTCTTTTTTTTTTGACCAAGGACCTCAAATCAAAAGACCCTAGGTCTCTATCACTTATGGTATACCAATTACAATTACATTTTACTTATTTATGTAGTTATTTATATATGGAGTTTCCGGACCGCTTCGGTCAAAATTATTCTTAAGATCCTGAGGATATAACGAGCAAATTGGTGACATAAATTTGTCATAAATTTTTATGGTTGCGAAGGAGATGTGTACACAAGAAAAATAGTGTTTGGGGAGATAACTCTTACAATAAAAAGTGTTCGGTTAAACAGGGTCAGTTTCAAAGCCGCAATAACTGTTCGATATCATATGCAAACAAGAGTGCACACGCTGAAATGTCTCGCCTTCTTTACTAATCATTGATATTATGTTGATAGTCCTAAATATAAAGCTTTATTACAACTGTCACATAAACTTAACATTAACCAAGTAAACTAAACATTGACCAATGAACCATGAAAATGAGGTCAAGGTCAGATGAACCATGCTAGGCAGGCATGTACAGCTAACAATTCTTCCATACAACAAATATAGTTGACCTATTGCTTATAGTTTAAGAAAAACAGACCAAAACACAAAAACTTAACACTGAGCAATGAACCTTGAAAATGAGGTCAAGGTCAAATAAAACCTGCGTGAATGGCATATAGATCAAAAAATATTTCCATACACCAAATATAGTTGAACTTTTGCATATAGTATTAGAAAAAAAGACCAAAACTCAAAAACTTAACTTTGACCACTGAACCATGAAAAAGAGGTCAAGGCCAGATGACACCTGCCAGCTAGACATGTACACCTTACAATCATTCCATACACCAAATATGGTCCTATTGCATACAGTATAAGAAAAACAGACCAAAACACAAAAACTTAACTATAACCACTGAACCATGAAAATGAGGTCAAGGTCAGATGACACCTGCCAGTTGGACATGTACACCTAACAGTCCTTCCATACACTGAATTTACTAGACCTATTGCTTATAGTATCTGAGATATGGACTTGACCACCAAAACTTAACCTTGTTCACTGATCCATGAAATGAGGTCGAGGTCAAGTGAAAACTGTCTGAAGGGCATGAGGACCTTGCAAGGTACGCACATACCAAATATAGTTATCCTATTACTTATAATAAGAGAGAATTTAACATTACAAAAAATCTTAACTTTTTTTTCAAGTAGTCACTGAACCATGAAAATGAGGTCAAGGACTTTGGACATGTGACTGAAGGACACTTCGTAACATGAGGCATCCATATACAAAGTATGAAGCATCCAAACCTTCTAAAATATAAAGCTTTTAAGAAGTTAGCTAACGCCGCCACCGCCGCCGGATCACTATCCCTATGTCGAGCTTTCTGCGACAAAAGTCGCAGGCTCGACAAAAATCAAAGCAACATCTTGCGAAACAAAAAAGCACCGTCAGAAAAAAAGTAGCGGAAGAAGAAAAAAATAATAATAATCAGAAGAAAAGTGGAAAGACCTAATAATACCAAATGTTTCCGACACTTTTCATTATGCACTGCTCCTTGTACACCCATTAGGGCATGAGTACCTTGAAAAGTATGGAATGTCACAGACACCATCAGGACTGCTCTGAACTAATTATCAAACATAATTTAGTTGCTCTGAATTGGCTTTCAAGACAGCCACTTTTTTGCTTGAGTCGGACACCACAAATAATAAATGTTTAACATTAGCATATCAAAGCAGCTGAAAACAACATGTAATAATATTGAGTTTTCAAACAGAAAATGAAAAACAAATTATTGGGTAATCTTCTTGTATAAGTACTATTCAGCAATTTTTGCTTTTTCTCAAATATGGTGTTCCAAAATCACAATATTGCATATATCTTGTCATAAGGGAAAAATTTTGTAAAATTTTATGTTTTGAGGGTATGTCTGACCAGATCAAATAAATCAAACTTGAGGTACTATGTAAGACGGTGCTTGTATTATTTGTCTAACAGTGATTTAGTCTGTAATTCTGGAATAACAACCTGAACATTGTCAAACTCAAACAGTAGCTTGCTTTCATTGAACCAAAACAGCATGTAAATTTTTGTTAAAGATGTACCATACAAATTTGAGTTTTTGTGAGACATGTTTAGAACTTGGCAGACTTCCATAGAGACAAGGGTATACAATAACACATCCAGTGTTGACAGGCTTTGAAAAAGAAGATGTATCAACATTAAATTAACATAAAAAACTGCCAATTTTACATACAAACCATAGTGTTTGTGAACTTAAGAAATAAAATGCTCGCTGGGCGCAGCTTGATACGACCGCAGAGGTCGAACCCTGAACAGTTGGGGCAAGTATGGACACAACATTCAAGCTTGATACAGCTCTGAATTTGGATTGTGATTAAATATTTGACACAGCATAGGTTTCTGACACAGAAAGAATGTGGTCTAAGAACTTGAATTTTTTTAATTTACCTATTATGGTCCAATGTCCCAAATCAAAATACATGGTTAGATTCAGCATATCAAAGAACCCCATATATTCAATTTTTGTTGAAATCAAACAAAGTTTAATTTTGGACCCCAATTTGGACCAACTTGAAAACTGGGCCAAAAATAAAAAATCTAAATACATGTTTAGATTCAGCATATCAAAGAACCCCAAGAATTCAATTTATGTTAAAATCAAACAAAGTTTAATTTTGGACCCTTTGGACCTTAATGTAGACCAATTTGAAAACTAGACCCAAAATTAAAAAATCTAAATACACGGTTAGATTTGGAATATCAAAGAACCCCAATAATTCAATTTTTGATGAAATCAAACAAAGTTTAATTTTGGACCCTTTTGACATCAATATGAACCAATTTGATAGCGGGGCCCACAAATAAAAAATCTAAATACATGGTTAGATTCAGGATATCAAAGAACCCCATATATTCAATTTTTGTTGAAATCAAACAAAGTTTAATTTTGGACCCCAATTTGGACCAACTTCAAAACTGGGCCAAAAATCTAAAATCAAAATACATGTTTAGATTCAGCATATCAAAGAACCCCATATATTCAATTTTTGTTGAAATCAAACAAAGTTTAATTTTGGACCCCAACTTGGACCAACTTGAAAACTGGGCCCATAATCAAAAATCTAAACACATGTTTAGATTCAGCATATCAAAGAACCCCAAGAATTCAATTTTTGTTAAAATCAAACTAAGTTTAATTTTGGACCCTTTGGACCTTAATGTAGACCAATTTAAAAAACGGGACCCAAAATTAAAAATCTAAATAGACGGTTAGATTTGGCATATCAAAGAACCCCAATAATTCAATTTTTGATGAAATCAAACGAAGTTTAATTTTGGACCCTTTTGACCTCAATATGAACCAATTTGATAGCGGGGTCCACAAATAAAAAATCTAAATACATGGTTAGATTCAGCATATCAAAGAACCCCATATATTCAATTTTTGTTGAAATCAAACAAAGTTTAATTTTGGACCCCAATTTGGACCAACTTGAAAACTGGGCCAAAAATAAAAAATCTAAATACATGTTTAGATTCAGCATATCAAAGAACCCAAAGAATTCAATTTTTGTTAAAATCAAACAAAGTTTAATTTTGGACCCTTTGGACCTTAATGTAGACCAATTTGAAAACTAGACCCAAAATTAAAAAATCTAAATACACGGTTAGATTCGGCATAACAAATAAATAAATGTGGTCAAAGATTTTACAAATCTAATGCGCCATACTGTGCAATTAAAGATTACTTCTTGAAATTTTTCAATATTTGAAATTTGAAAAAAAAAAAATCTTTGAAGAATAATTCTTTTTAATTTCTGAAATCTGAAATGAGAAAAAATTGACCCCCCACAATTTCTTTTTACCCCCCCCCCCCCCCCTTTTTATCCCCCAAAAAATTCTTTCCCTCAAGATATGGTCATAATCTCAATTCAAATTTCCAATGGAGTTTGCAACCATAATTACCCATTTAAATTTACCATAGTGCTAACTTAATCTATTTTATAATAGAATTTAAAATATAGTGTCAAATCTTTCATATGGATATTTTTGTAAAAAAAAAGGATGCAACATTTGCAGATATTTTTAATGGTCTTCCTTTATAAATATGCATTTCTTTAAACATAATTTAAAAGCAGTGTAAGGGAAGTAACCAAAACGTTGTATTTGGATTACCTCCCTTACACTGTTTTAAATTATCTTAATTGTTCATTAACCATTACTTTATACATAATTTAAAAGCAGTGTAAGGGAGATAATTTCAATGATGTATTTGATTTATCTCCCTTACACTGCTTTAAATTATGTTTTGTACTAAAGTATTTGTCCATTAACCAGGACAACCTTGTTTTTCCCCCTTTTTTGCCCCTAATTCCTAAACGGTTTGAGCCATAACCCCCCAAAGCAAATCCTAACCATCCCTTTGTGGTATGGAAACTTGTAGTATAATTTCAGAGAGATCCATACACCGTTCCACAGTTATTGTCTGGAAACTAGAAAATGCTTATTTTTGGCCCCTAATTCCTTAACTGTTGGTACCATAACCCCTGTAGTTTCTGTTCACAATTTTTATTTAAGATTCAGGTCTATTTATAGCTTAAAATATTGTATAAACACCTGTCTTTTGTTGAATGTCAATCAGTTTTTGAGAATAACAGTGGTCATTACCATATCAATCTACCCGCTCTATTTCCCACAGCAAAACTAAAATGTCACATTTTACTGTTGTAGAAAATGTCAAACACTGCTTTCAAATTCAGTCTTTAATGATAATAACAAAACAGTATATATCTACTATACAACAACAACAAATAAAGTAATAGTAAATTTTTTGTTTTTAAAACTATAAAAGAAAAGCAAAAGATGAAAATCATATATCAGTCTAAAATCCCTGATCTTTACCCGATATACTTGAAAAACATATGAAATTGACTAATAGAATTTGTTACATATTCCAAATGGCTGTCCCCATAACTGCACAGTTCAATAATGTATATCTAAAACCTTATACCTCTAATAAAGCTTGGGTAACTTAACAATTATTTCATAAATTATATCTTCAATGCCAAAATATTTTATAAGCTAAAAAAAAATGTAATACAATAATACAAACTTGGTCCAGCAACCGCATATTTCTTTTTAAACTCGTATATCAACTTAATCAGATGTAAAAACATCTCAGAAATTGAAATTTAGGCCAAAATCACAGCATTTGTAATATTAGTCTAAAATCGTTGTTTGATGCATCACAATACCTCAGTATATATTTGAAGGTAAAAAGTATTTGAAAAATAAAATGTAAAATTTAAATATAGTCAGTGATGCTTGACATTAATGTGAAACATGCTCCTGTTGATCAAACAAAAGTTTTATGATTGTAGGTCAAATTTAATCTGAGAATTTAACTAAACCTATAAAAAAAGTGAAAAATTTAGGTAAGATTGACCTACTTTTGGGGATAGGCTTGTTCTCCATAGATACATCCTTAAACCAAAGTTATAAGATTACAGATCTATTACAATTTGAGAACAAATCTCAAGAAATACTGTTTACCAAGTTATTTAGGCAGCTGTAAAATTTGATTGTTTGGATGGTAGAAAGTATAGGATTTTTTTTGCATAACTGAAATGAAAGTGTTTTTATTTTAATTACATCTACACCTTGCAGAGGAATTTATTAAACTTGTTAATGTGCATTGTTAACAAGCATATAATGTTTTTTTTCCCTTCAAATTATTACTTTATTATAATACTTAAAAGTCATACATTTGACCATGAGGTTTGGTTTCCTGATCACTAAACAATAACAGTGTAATAAATATCATGTCAACTATTCTAAAAAACATAGAAAACAATATAGGTGTATATATATAAAACAACAATATCACAGATATCAAAATAATAATCTTCATTGTAGTACAATGATTCCATGATTGGTTCAATTCAATATATGATGCAATTTGAAGGATTGGTTTTTTATCAAACCAGTCTGTATCTAATTGTTGGTGGCAGATGGTTTATAATTCACAAATTGCATTGTAACATAATATAACATACCACAAAACAAGATGTTATCTTAAAAATTTTCATTTTTGAAAAATAATTTTATCTTCATAACATAGCATTTTTATATGACCTGTTATACCAACTGAAACAAGTGTCAGCATTTATTTATGCATGTAAAGATTTTGCTATACTTATTTATTTGTTTAAACTTGACCAAAACAATACACCTGTGCACTTTATTCAATATAAATTATATCCCCAAAGTATATTAGTTTGGAACATGATGTCCTAGGGTATTCTTTCTGACGTTTGTGGTGAGAAGAAATTATTGATGATCTGATAAACAGATGATATCAAAATAATTATCTTTTTATCACATAATTTTACACCAACAGTATTTGTCACCTTTTTACCTTTATTTGAATATTTAGGTCTAGATATTTTTTCTAACATTATTCATATAATAGCCACATGTCAATTACATGTAATTTTAAACAAAAGATTTCAAATGGTCTTTTCAAAATTCAGATCAGAAAATCTAATTCTTTAGATTAGGTTTTTGAATAGTTTTATTAGTAAAACACAACTACTCTTTAGCTTAGAATATTTATATTCAGTAAACTTGTAATACGTAAAATGGACAACAGATCTTGACAAAACATTTACAATAAAACTATAGTACAATAGACCACACCAACCATCAACAACTAACTCCTCCAAAAACAAATAACATACAAACAAAGATAAAACAATAACTAATGTTACACATATATCCTTTTTTAAGGCATTTTTAAAAATGCTATTCAAACACAAAGTGAGACAGATAAATGCCATTTACTGGTGAACTAATGTTTATTCTAATGCAAAATCATATGTCTCCCTGATTCCTCCTGTCCAAGTTACATAAACAGAAAGTTAACTCTAAAAATAGTTGATCTACAAAAAAAATATGAAATGAACAAGTAAACATATATTGAAGAGATTCTGTCAGGATTTATTCTTTTCAAATGGAAAACTACATGAGATTTGCTATTGGGAATCTATGAAATCAGTCTCAAGTCAATTTGATCAAAATAATAAAATAAGAGGTGCAGAAGTACACACTGTATGAAGTCATTCTCTCAACTTTTATCCATTACTTTTAATTTGTCAACTTTACTGTGAGACATTTTTCATTGGCAAACTTGTGTGAAATGACAGACACATCAATGAAAAGTACACAAACTATTTGTCTCTTCACATATAACTTGGGGACATATAACAAAATGGTTTAGAATAGATACATCTCTTTAGTGTGACTGTGTCAAAGCAAAAATTTTGCTAGCAGAATTTAGCTAGGAATGATAAACTCTGATGATTTCTGTAATGTCTTTTCTACAGATAGGACAGGCATCTTTTCTGTTAAGTAACATCTTTGTACACTCATAACAAGCTACTAAATGATGACATGGACATATAACACTGTTTCTTGTTCTCTCCATACATATAGCACATTCTTCTGTAAACACAAAATTAATAGGATTAAGTTGGTTCTCATTATATAGCTAACTAAGCAGGTGTCAAATTGTTGACATGCTCTAGCTGGTATTTACCCCCAAAAGTAAAAATATATAATATCTGTACAAAAACAGCCCAATATACAATGATTCACTTTTGGTTACTTTTTGGGTTCAAAGCTTCCACAGTACTATAATGTAGATAACATGTTTAAACCTTTCAATAAAAAAGTCAGTCAGAGCCATTCAAGAACCACAGTAAAATTTAACACAAAAAGTGATGCCCCCGCACTCCACTCTGAAGTAACTGTATTATAACAAAGTCAATGTAGGACTTTCTTTAAAATATTATTGTGTCTGGAGTTATCCGAAAACGCTATGCACCTCTTATGCAAGTATATACTCCAAAAATGACAAAGTTCAACTATCTCCTAAAAGAGCAAATATTAATAAAAATCAAAACTCTGACCACATGCACACCTTCAATATATGTACAAACAGCCAGCAAAGTGAAAACTTCCTAGCATTCAAACTGTAGGAGGAGTTATCTGGAAACACTATGCACCTATTATGCAAGTAAATACTCAAAAAATGACAAAGTTCAACTATTTCCCAAAAGAACAAATATTAACAAGAGTGCACACGCTAAAATGTCTGGCCTGTTTTACTGACCATTGATTTTATGTTGAAAGTCTTAAAGATAAAGGTTTTACTACAATTATCACATAAACTTAACATTTTAAAAGATCCATGACAATGAGGTCAAGGTCAGATAAAACTGTCACACAGACATGTATACCTTACAATTATTCCATACACCAAATACAGTTGACCCATTGCTTATGGTATTGAAAAACAGACCAAAACACAAAAAACTTAATGTAAACCAATGAACTATAGAAATGAGGTCAAGGTCAGATGATACTGGCTAGACAGACATGTACACCTTACAATAATTCCATACACCAATAATAGTTGACGTATTGCTATTAGTATTTGAAAAACAGACCAAAACACAAAAACTTAACATTGACCAATGAACCATGAAAATGAGGTCAAGGTCAGATGAAACTGGCTAGACAGACATGTACACCTTACAATAATTCCATAAACCAAATATAGTTGACCTATTGCTTATAGTACTTGAAAAACACACCAAAAAACAAAAACTTAACATTGACCAATGAAACATTAAAATGAGGTCAAGGACAGATGTCACCAGCTAGACAGACATGTACACCTTACACCAAATATAGTTAACCTATTGCTTACAGTACTTGAAAACCAGACCAAAACACAAAAAAATAACAATGACTAATGAACCATGAAAATGAGGTCAAGGTCAGATGAAACCTGCCAGTCTGACATGTACACCTTACAATCATTCCATACACCATATATATTTGACCTGCTGCTTGTAGTATCTAAGAAATGGACCTAATCACATAACTTTAGCCTTGATCACTGATCCATGAATTGAGATCGAGGTCAGGTTAACCCTGTCTGACAGACATGTAGACGTTGCAAGGAACCCATTTACCAAATATAGTTATCCTATTACTCACAATAAGTGAGAAATTCACATGACAAAAAAAAACTGTAATTTTTTTTCAAGCAGTCACTGAACCATGAAAATGAGGTCAAGGACAATGGGCATATGACAGACGGTAACTTCGTAACATAAGGTATCTGCATACAAAGTATGAAGCATCCAGGTCTTCTACCTTCTGAAATATAAAGCTTTATACAAATAGTTTATGAAGCCGCCACCACTGCTGCCCCCAGATAGTAATACCTATGCATTGCATACTTTGACTTTCGTCGCATGCGAGACAATAAAAAACAAAAACCCTGACCACATGCACACCTTCAATACATGTACCAACAGCCAGTAAAGTGAAAACTTCCTAGCATTCAAACTGTAGGAGGAGTTATCTGGAATAACTATATACTCATAATGGGACGGACAGACGGGCGGACAGGCGTAATACAATATGCCCCCCAACTTTCACTTGCGTGGGCATAATAAAAATATTAGTATCTAAATAACCATAAAGTAAAGTAAATTTTTGGTAGAATCTAATTCTGAAATTCCAAGCAGTAAAAATAAAAACATGTCTAAACATATTTTTTTGTTAAATAAAATTATGAAAAAATATTTTTTACTGTATAATATCATTATTAGTTTACCTTTTTTAGTTTCTTTGACAGTGACAACACTGCCCCCATGACCTCCTGGTTCTAGGGTCAAACTTGGAATGGTTTTCTCATATAGACATCCCATACCAGATGAGTTCAATATTCTTTCTAAACAAGCTAAAAAAGGAATAATTTTTCATTCTTTATTCAATGTTTTCATTTAACTATTTTCCTTTACTGATTTGGTGTTACCCTATAGCATATCTTTTACAGATTTGAAATTTTGCAGTATTGGTTTATAAAGGAATCAAACAATTTTGGTGTTTTTTCCAGCTCCGAATTTCCAAATAATAATTTTCCCAGCTGTTGAAATGTCTGTAGATTACAAGAAAGATATCAAAAAGGATGTAATAGTTATAAAAACAAAAGCAAATTAAGAAATAATTCATGCAGGATTGAATTTATATTGATTTTACCATGGGTTGGTCCTTTACACCAAATTTTTTACCATAAGCTATAGTGAGGGGTAAAATATGTGCATAATGGGCCAATCCGTGGTAAAATCGATATAAATATCAATTCAAGTCCTTATGATTTATTTCTATTCTAAAAAGACAAAGACAGCTACACTTTTGTATTAAAGATCTCTAGGTCAAGGCAAAATTTACTGTTCCCTAAATTGAACTTACTATACCAGTAAGTAAGAATGTAAATGAGGAAGAAAACAGAATTAGTGCCATGCCTAAACAATTTATAGTTACAGATGTTTAGATCAAAGTTTAAATATTATAAAAATGTAATTATTGTAGGTTTTTTCCTTTGGAAAAGAAGAAATTTGTAAAACTGTATTTTAAATCTGAGGCTCAATAATATCAGGACAACAAATACCTAAAATCTGTGTATCCTTTGTCATTATAGACCTACCAAGCATACAATAAAGAAACAAATTGTTTAGCATGTGCATAAAATTTAACAGAATTAGTTTTGGTGATTTGGTTTAAATGCTAAAATAGTTTTTCAAATTACTTTGTTATTGTTTTCTTGTTTTTTGAGAAACAGGCTTGAATGAAATGATATGATGCTTATTAGTATATAATATGTGATCATATACCTTTCTTTCTTTCCTCTCTCTGCTGTTCAGATAAAATCAAAGGTTGTGTACCAGATCTGAAGAATAGTACTTTCCCCATCTTTTCCAACATTTCTCTCACTATAAACAAAATAAACCATGAAACAGCAAAAAACTTTAAATTCTGCAAAATACCTTTACTATATACTGTAAACTCAGAAATTATTGTGAGATTTTTATTAATGTGAATAATGCAATTACTTGAGTATTGCAATAATAAAAATTTGCATTCTGATATCAAATACATATATCTGTATGTAGCTTTTCCTAAAATCGCAATAATTAAACTCGCATTTTAGTTAATTCTTCAAAAATAGCAATAACAAATGCACGCAACCATTTCTGAATTAATTTTATTTATCATTCTCTATTTGAAATGCATAATTTTGAACATAATGTATCCCTTATAAAAATAATGTTCATCAGTTTTAACAGGTTCTTCAAGCAAACTGTAGGCAGTACTTAACAAATTGAAAAATTTTGATATACAATTTTGGATGGTATTCTTTTCAGAATGTTCATTTTGTTCTAATCTAAATCTAAAATATCAACTATTAATCTAGCATGCTAAGGAACTTAGAAAAATCTAAGTATAATAAAGCAAATGATTTATTCAAAAGACAAATCTAGTACATAAAGTAATACTTAAAATGAATTTCAGTGTGATCACTGATGTGTAGCGCACATTATAAAATAACTGAAAACTACTATACAAACAATTTCTCAACAAATGAATTTTTAATCTGATACCTTTGGTAACATTCCTTTGAGAGGTATGTTGACATGGAGTAAGTTCTACTTCTGGTATAGTAAAAACTGGATACAGGAACCTTAATCCGATACATCTCTGTAAAAAACATCATTTTAGAAGAAGGATATAAAGAGTGAATGTCACATTTTCTAACAACATATATATCACACAATTATTTAATTTTTTAGTGAAATAAAAATTTGTGAAATTTTCTTCTAGATTACATTTTAATTGAATTACATGAATCTTTTTTGCAGAAAGAATTGTCAAGTTGCTTGCATTTAGTGTCCAGAAAATTTCCTCAATATCCAGCTGGCCTACAGAATTTTTTACAGTGCTCTAGCCTAGTTCCTTTATGATTTTCATCAGTTTCAACAGGTTCTAATCAACCAAATTGTGGGCTTTGGGCATATTGGGTTGACCAATTGAAGAAAAAAAAACTGTTGGTATTGCTAACATTGCAGGCAGATATAAATTTATATCATAAAATCGTAGTCTGTAAATCTAATTCTTAAGAAATGAGAAGCAAGTTTCTCTTTTTAAAAATGGATTTTATCTTTTTATAGCAGATACTACCGGTATATCCTAAACATGAAGTCGTTATATTTTATATATTAAAGTCCTTATTAATCATATACTAGTTAAAAGAAGTTTAGATTACTAAATGTTATTATATTTGATCATTTTGTACTGGACGACACTTCAGCAAATTACATAAATACTTTATCTAAATTCTTCAGTCATATTTAATATCTTTTTTATATTTTCCCAAATATCACATTATCTTCTCAAATCCTCATCTTCTAATTTGAATGATCTCTTTCACCGTCTGACTGCTATCTCACAGGAGTCAACTATTTAAAACATATGTTGGCATAGGGGACATGTTTTTGTACAAACAATATTTTTTTTATCTAAAACATTTCACTTCCATTGTTAAATATTTTGGATATAGAATAGGACAATGTACAAATTTCTACAACCATTACATTATTTACGGAAATGTATTGTCTGAATTTTTCAATAACCAGTTTAATTCAGATGCCAGGTTGGAATCAAAAGCTGATGTGAGTTCGATCATTTCTGAACTGGTCACAGCCTTTGGAAGAAAAATGCAAACCAATCACACAATTTTTCTAAGGAACTGTCAAGTTGGAAAATCCATCCCATCAGATTTTTGGTGGATCAAAGTTGATCATCAATAATCAAAAGGAAAATAATTCCACTACGTTTTATTTCAAAAGTTTATTTTTATACAGTATAAAATCAGAATGACATCAAAACAAATATATGATGTCTTTACACTAAATACATTGGATGTTGGATGTGTACTGATCGATATTTTAGTCTTAGATACATGATTTTTTTTTATTGGTTGTTATTAGCTTTGAACTTGCTGTCAGTACCTGCAAGTTCTCTCAGATCTGTACTCTGTGTCTTTTTTGTTGTTAGGGATGTATAAATACCCTGCTACGTCCAGTCTGTGTTATTGTTAGATATTTTTCTGCTTTGTATCAATCTGATGAGTTAACCCCTTTTCAACTGATTTTTATAGTTTGTTCTCATGTTGTGCTGTAACACCACTGTCCAAGGATAGGTAGAGGGTTGAGCGCTCAGAAACATGTTTAACCCTGCCACATTTGTTATGTGCCTGTCCCAAGTCAGGAGTCTGTAGTTCAGTGGTTGTCATTGGTTCATGTCTGTCATATTTTTTTTTCATAAATTGTTTTGTTGTAAATTCGGCCATTAGTTTTCTCAATTAAATTGTTTAATTTTTTTCATGTCAGGGCCTTTTATAGTCAACAAATTGAACAATACAGTGTGTGTTTTTCTCATAGTTGAAGTCCATACGGTTGTCTATAATTGCCTACATCTACTTCATTTGAACTTTGGTATATAGTTGTCTCATTGGCAATCACACCACATGTCCTTATTTATATATATAGATCGACAAATATTTTGTTCAATATATTTCAATACCTCTTTGCCTTGAACTTTACAGAAAACATCATCAACTTTGAGTCTCAGTGAATTTGTACATATTATTGCCTCTGGTTTGCAGGAGTAAGTTATTCCTGAAAAAAAGAAATGAATGTCAAATAAACATAGTTCATTAATCAACAGTATCTTAGCTCATTGGCTGTCAGAACAGATCTGACCAAACTGACTCATGTGATTAAAACAATACAAATGAATTCTGTATTTGCCTTTGGAAGCTTAGAAATACAGAAATATATGGTTCCCAACAAACAAATAATATTTCATTTTGTTGGCTGAATATAACATTGAACTGTAAAAGCTTCTTAGAAATAAATCGAAAATTAGGAAATGACTATACTATATTTTCAGCGTTGACCATTACAACATGAAGATTAAGAATCTTACACAGAATACTAGCCAGAACAAATTTCATTAGTAGTATTTATTTAAGAACCTTCATTAATTATGATTATAATTGTTCTCTTTTTTAAGATTCTACTGTGTGACTGTCAATAAACAGATTTTATCGTATTTATGAAAATATATACTCTGTAAACCCTTTTAATGTACAAGTATTTTGAGCTTGTCTTCAATATCAGTGAATATTTGTTGACATGATTTTATAAACTAAAAGACTATAAAGTTGTGTCTTTTTGGTCTTCTGTTTTAGTCATATAATCTGATAATTGAATAAAGTTGTGTCTTTTGGGGTTTTAACTTTCAATGTGTAATTTTAACTGTGTTATTTGCTTTTCTACAGTTATTTGGACAAGGTTGAATACTAATAAATAAGTTTAACTGTCCAAAAGTCAAGAACCTTTGAGTAATTTTTTTTCTACCTATATTTTTAATTCTGTGTTAATGTGTCTAAGGATGTCTCTGTTGAATTTATTCACAACCTTTTAAACTGTATAGTATCCCTTATATTTTACCTTTTTATAAAACTTGCTTTGGTTTTACATTGATGTTTACTGCACATCTCCTTTAATCATATCATAATAAAATAGAAAAAAAAACTGAATAGTAACATACTTTCCATTAATTCATTTTTGATGCCTAAATCTTCTATAACACATTCAAATATAAAATCTGCATCATTTACTGTTTCTTCTAATCTACTCATACACAACACTGGTCCCTTTAAAAAAGAAACAATGCCTTATTGCAAATTCACTCTTTGTTGTCAAGTCCCAAATTTTGAGTGTTTTTTTTAATTGGTTGTAATAAAATTATTCAGGTAAATTCTAAATTTCTATACCAAGAATCCCAAGTTTGTTGAGAAATTCAAATATACTGTATTTATAATACAATGTGTATGAAATTCTTAATAAAATGATTAGTATACGATTGCCTATACATCTAGAGACAATAAATCTAGTTGATCACCAACAAATATCTGCATTTAGTGTGTTTCAAAAGACAAGTCATAATTTAAAGTTATAAGTGAAGGTGTTCTTAAGATTCATGCAATTTCTTCTTATAATAATTCCAATTATTCAAATCATGAAGTTAAAAATCTCATCGAACTATTTGCGCTTATTAACGAAGTAGTGTTATTTCTTCAGCAATTCAGAATCATCATATTTATCTCTTACAGATCTGTAGATTTAAGAAACTTTTTTCATTGGATTGTTTGTAGACTGAAAATTATAGAACCAAGTTCTGGTCAAAGCAACACAAAATGAAAGTAAAAGAAACAACATCAAATGAAGAGTTTTTCTTTAAATCCCACAATTTCTACATCATTCAAAAATGATTTACAAAATTACTTGTTGGAACATTAAGAAGCTGTGTAATTTTATATGTATAATAATTTTCACACACTTACTCAAACTTAAGATATTGTTGAGGTAATTTGAATGATGCTAATACTATATGAATTTGTAATTTTTACCTGTTTTGAAAATTGTATATTTCATTCCAATTTTTTATTTCATTTTTTCATATATGTGTGTTTGTTTGATATTTTGTAATTGTTTGATATATTTCATTGTATTTCATGAGGGCCTCAGGGAAGATTAGTTTTATAGCTAACTGTGTAACCCTCTTTAAATAAAGAATTATTATTATTATTATTATCATATTTTAATTCAATTTCTTACAATATAATTATTTGTTAGAAGTAGTCCCTCATTCCTTAGTTCTTCTTTGTCATTCTCTATTCTACCGTAGACACTGTTCAGGGCTCCAATGTTCACATCATGTATCTTTACTCTGTGTCCATAGTAAGCCATTTCACCTGGAATGATATAATATTTAGATCAGATTTTATTATGCACAATTCAATTTATTATAAAAGAGGGGGGTAATGGGGGGTTCTCATCACGGTTCACGAGATGTTAAATTTGCTGATCACAGTTCACAGGAAACAAATTTTCCTGATCACAGTTCACAACTAATTTGATAATCATTAAGCATTTGTTCACTCATTTACTGGAAAGTTTTAGTACATTTGCTATATTTGAAAATCAGTTTGGATATCGCCATACTTGAGTAAATTAAAACTATAACACAAGTCTTTGATGAAAAAGCTTAGAAGCAGCCAGTTGGGAAAGAACATTCCTATGAAAGTGTTAAGATTTTCAGGAAACATTCGCCATTCGTCAATTTTGTGGTCTGTCTTTTAATCTACAAAAGTGGAGTGTACTCCGAGTACATTTGGCATCTTTGAACTTGTGTACTAACTCTGAAACTTGCCAATTGGATATTGTTTTTCTTTCAACAATTGATTTCAATTTGACTATGCTCAAGTCTCATTATTTAAGTCTATTACTTTATTTTAGTATTTACTATCAAGGTGCGATATACTATCCACATACATATACCTTGAAAAATCTTTGATTATTTTTGATTATTTTTCAAGATAAAGCAATGGACACCAACACAACTCCCGGAGACCAAGCAAATACACAGTAATAACTTGTGTTCAGTATACAAGCATTTCATAGTGCAGTGTTTTTATAACCGTTGAAATTCATATAGATATAACAAAAGCTTCAAGGTACAAGCAGGCCTACCAAAAACTGATGGAAAGACAGTACTTTGAATTTTATTAGCAATGTTTAAAAGTAGACAAAAAAAAACAACATGAAAAATATAACTAGAAATTGAATAATAAGGTCCCTACCGAAAAGTTTGGTTTCATTTGGGGTCTCCGGATGAAACCATAAGTATTAAATAAATTATCAGCAAGATTTTTCGGTGAAACTTGGAACTCAGATAAGCGTCTCGACTCAAATAGTTGTCCAATTTTCGATTCAGCTTCCACTGATGTCAGGTAACATCTCAATTCATGGTCAGAATAAACTTTATTATCAAATCGACATCCTTTCCAAATTCTATTGCGTCTGTGTATAGCAACTTCACAAAATAATCGGTATTTCTAATATCAATTGCTTTCCATTATGGAATAATGACAGGAAATTTCTTTATTCATATTACTGAGGGTAGTAATGCCCTTTACCATCATGCGTCAAACGGTCATTTTTGGCTACCGTTAGTGTCAAATTGATAAAAATTTTACCGTGATTTGTCAAAATATCCTTATCGTGATTTGTCAGAGCTCTCAAATAACTATCGTTACCGTTATTTTTGGAAAAAAATTACGTGATTTGTCCAAATCATTCGATTTTTTTATCGTCTAGAAGAAAGTGCACATTTTATCGTCATGCACCAAAAATTACTGTTAACGTCATTTGGCAAGAATTTTTACCGTTATTCGTCATAAAGGTACCCCATTACCACCCTCATTACTTTGATGACACAGCAAGTCAATAATACAGCTCTGAATCCACCAAGAAATCATATCAGCTGACTTATAGATTCGAAAATTATTCCGAGTCTCAGCAAGCGATTTTTTACGGGTCACCAGATGGATAGTAAACCCGGCAAATAGTAACAAACCCCTATATATACACGTAGTGAATGTCAACACACAATGATATTTCAATTTTAGACGTTACCGGTTTTATATATATATATGAGGATTTGAATGGGTTCTTCAAATATTCATTATTAATTTGTATTATCCATAATTTGATTTTCCGTTCTTTTATATTTTAGCACTGTCTTAAAACTCTATTCTTTAAAGTTTAAATTAATTTATGATCATTTTTGTGTATTTTGTAAACCTCACCAAGTCCCTCATATAGGCTACTAGAAATTTTTCTTGCACAAAATTGATAATTTTGCTTGCGGTAGGATATAGACAGGTAGAAATTTGTTAGCTTTTATTGTGTCGATTTCTTTGACTCCGATATATTCAGATTACTAAAAACTACCGCAAAGGGGTAGTGATTTCCAATTAGGGGATGGAGATGTTTCCATAAGTCTTGAACTCTCAAAGGGTATTAACGTTAAGTATGGTGTCTTTTGCTTTTTTTGAAAATTGTTTAAAAGAATATAGAGAAAAGTTGTTTTTATTTTTTTTATTATTATTTTTAAAGAGGCTTATGTCTCGATTGCCGCAACGTAAACTACGCCAATGCTTAGTCACACTTCAACGTATAGCCCTTTCATAAATTAGATAGAAACAAGCTGGGAGTCAAAAATAGGTCCCAATCATCCATTTTAATTTGCAACATAGTCAGACTCGTACTCTGAAACCTGATCAAACTGCCAGGAACCAGCTTCGCGCTACTTAACTTTAGCGACTGGTTTCCGTACATTGTTTCAAATAGTACCAGTCATTTATAAAAAGAGGTTAAGAACGACAACTCTTAAGATAAAGTAGGGTGGTTTTTATTTTGATACCACAAAATTGTTCACGAAAAACGACGATTTAACACCTCCATCACGGAGAACGTATATAAAATTTAATTGAAAATGAGTCACGAAAAATGCACTTATCACGAGTCACGGATAATAAATCAATGCAAAACCGAATCACGGCAAGCAAAATACCTTGATCACGAAGGACGAAAATAACCCATCAGCCCCCTCATAAAAGGCCATTAATCTTTTTTTTTTCAGAACCAACAATACATAACATCTTTCTATTTTCATTTTTTTTTACAAATTGATTATCTATATAAAAATAAATCATATTTTGTCTGCATCGCTAGACATTACTAATTTTCCGATAAAATGTTGATGTCACAATAGGAAATGTTTGACGCCACAAAGTAAAAGTAATAGTTATATAATGTCAATGACAATAGTTCAAGTGTCCAGATTCCTAAATACGACAAGGGATATTGAGTTTAATTTTTCAAAGAAATAATCACACTCTGTAATTTTCCTAATTACTACATTCGTAATATAAAATACAGGAACGTCATATAACTTGCATTTAACAGGCCTGTGAATTAATACAAACGCTGTCAGTGAAAGTTTATGGCCATAAATTAATCGGGCATAAATAAGAAACCATTTGTGTTTAAATAGATTATTGAAAACATGTATCTCAATTTATGTCTTATAAATCTACCTGCAATCTTTATGCCAAGTAATCCGGCACCTATTATTGCTATTTTCACCATTTTTTTGTTTTGATATGTGACCTATGGAGTGACAGAATTGTTTATTATGTATCTGTGTATCGTTTGTTTACTTCTCTGACCACCATTTTTGATTTATTACCTCCCTTAATAGGGAGAAATACTTGAAATTGTTTGTCCTTTTTGGACATCTTTTATCGAATTGAAATCAAAATAATTGATAAATATTTACTTGTAGTATTATTTTTTAAATTCATTGATATAGACTATTAATATCAGTATAAATTGTGAAAGAACTACAGATTACTCTGAAATAAAGTCTCCATTTGTTTTGAAAAGGGGAGGTAATGATGCAGATAACAGGTGCTGTGTGAATCACTGAATGTAATCCAACATAAACAGAACATCAGTGCAGTTGTGTTTAAAGATGAACAGAAAAGAACGAGCCAGACAGAGATGGCAAATTTTAAAAGAGGTTATAATATTTTTGAAATATCACGAGAAGCTATTTACCTGATAATCATTGAACAATCTTAAAAGGTTTATAATACCAAGATAGATGGAAAAAATTATAGCACAAGCTCATTATGACATAAAAATAAACATAACACAAAATCAATACTTCTTTACTATATATTATTTATTAATCTATGACAAAGAAATTTTAAATCTGTAATGATATTAACCATTTGTATTTACTTTAACTAGAATATCTTTACATCATCAGCAGTGCATCTATTCTTAGTACCATGGGTTCATGGTCTAGTGGTTAGGACCGCAGACCTGCCAACTAGTGTTGGATAATTGGTTGAAATTACCAACCGATTATCTATTACTATCGGTAGAGACAGCAACCAACAGACTATCGGTTATAATCGCATCATTATACCTTGCCCTTTTTTAAATGAAATCATGCATTCGGTCACATTGTACATGTCTAATACGTATATTCCATATCATTGCAGAGTTTTATATGTTCATATTTGATCTTTTGTTTCCTTTTCATATTTTATTTAGCAATTAAAAAAGAAAATCAATTAGAATCCAGATTCGGATTAAAATTAATCAATAAATAAAACAATGCATTTGCATTGAAATATATGCATTTAACCAATGTCTGTTAATTCGTGTGGTATGCGTATTTTTCACTTTTGTGATCATTATTCTTCTGTCAGCTGTGTCATTCGTGCGTCTGTACTTCTAATTGTAAGAATGCGGAATTCTTTCATAGTTAATATGTATCCGATTTGTGATTCGTATATATTTCAATGGCGGACAAACCGACAAAAATAAACGATGTTTGACAAGCAATCTGGAAAGAATTATGACATTTTTAAAGCAACAAATGGATGAAACGTTAATAAAAGGCAATTTGCACCACGTTCTAATGTACCAACAATTTTATTTTGTTGAAAATCAGAATGATTTGATGTATGCTCTCGAGTAACAACAACTGTAATTGAAAGAAAGTATTTCATAAAAAGTTATTTATTTTAAATAAAATACGATCGATCTGTAAAGTAAATGCTTTTACCACGTTTAAAAAGAAAGAAATTGCTTATGTATTTGATTATAGGATGTTTGACATTGTTATTGTCATCTACTGATATTCTCTTTTACAATTTGTTTGACTGTGCATGTAAAATGCAAACCGGAAACGGACCAGAAGTTGATATGCTAAAGGTCCGGAAATATAACGACAATCGATTGAATAAAATCCCAATCGTTTGTCGACATCGCCAAGCCCAACCAACTAATTTCCGATTTATTCCAATCATCAGAACATCACTACTGCCAACTATCCAGATTTTGGCGGTATCATCTCGATTTTCACAAAATCTACCGGAAAAAATTATTGGTTACCGATTTTGAAGTTTTTCTGATCAATTTCTATAAATCTATAATTTTACCTGGCGACATATTTATGACAAGTTTACGACCCTGCGCTAATCAAAGGTCACAACAGGTGTCATAATTTGTTGTTACAGGTAATCTGCTTATCTGATGAGTCATAACAATCCTCAAAATTAATTAATTTGTAAACAGAATCGGTCAGTCAGCATTTCAATTTTAATCAATTTATCATACGATCACAATTTGCAATGTTTACCGTAGTTTCATGACAAAATCGTAATTAACTGAAAGACGAAAACTGTAATGAATTCATTAGAAAACAGCATTTATCTTGAAATTCGTTAAAATTTTTGAAATCAGACGTGTTTCTTTCCAGTTCGGATTGAAAATCTACGACATTTTGTATTCACTTCTACTGTGTATAAGCCTCCGCCAGTAAGAGCACCTCTGAACACAAAGAAAGATAACTCAAATTTTATCCATTTTCTCATTAATACTGATGCCTAACTCAAAATCTGTCTTCATCTTTCTAACTTTTGGACATTGAGGTTAAGGTCTTTTGAGTCATGGTGCAAAGCTAAGAAGGTCTTTGGAGGGGGAAGGGGGGGGGGGGGGTCTTCACTAAGACACTTTGTATCCTTTATTTTTTTTAAGCCATTTTTCTCTATTCTTAAGTTATTTTGCCAATTAATATGTACAAGAATCATGCAAGTAAAAGAAATCAAGGCTTATTAGCTCATCATCAGTATACCAGAAGAAAAAAGAAGAAATATGATACTATTTCAAGAGTAAAAAACAGTGCACACAGAAACGCCGCAAAAATTGTAACCCTTTAAAATCTGGTCGCGCACTAAATCCCCCATGTAGATTTTCAAAAGATGGCAGGTCTGGGACCGATGACTAGAGTGCTGATGGCCCTCAGGGCGCTGAAAATTTCAGTAATCAGAAGCGTGATTTCATCCTCCCACACACATCTCTGATACCCAGACCAGAGTTTAAACTTGAATGGGTACTTTGGGGGCCTCATTGGTCAAAGTTGCCCCCTACTTTGACCTGGAGATCAAGATTGTATCTTGGGGATTTCTATCAGTTATTATAATTATGTCTTAGAGTAGTATTAAAGTATTAGAATTTACATGGATTTTAGTCATCAGTCATGAAGCAATTTAAGGATATAACATGGTGTCAGATTTGGGATCAGTCATTAAGCAATTGATGAATATAACATGGTGTCAGATGTGGGATCAGTCATTAAGCAATTGATGAATATAAAATGGTGTCAGAAGTGGGATTCGAACCCACACACACATTCGTGGACCAGTATACATGCAAAGCGTTGCTTTATGTGATCTGACAGGAAGGCCAGGACATTTTCAACACCTTTAATATCCAGGAAGGAGATGAAGGCAAAGTTGCACGATTTCTTCCATCTTTCTGTCATATTTGGCCGTCACTGGTAAAGTTCATTTCAGGAGGCTGCTTTAAATGGGCTTCCATGGTTTTAACAAAATATAACAAAATCATCAAAGGAATCATATGTTCAAAGTTGAGTACACATATATTACAAATTGGTTTTTAATTAAACAGTTAAAATAAAATCAATCATTGCTATATTTGGTACTGAAAATTTATACTTCTTTACAGTCCTAGGGAAACTTGAGTTGCATTTCTATTGCATCGTTCATAACTGTCCAGAATTATTAAGTTGTAGCTTGCATAATCAAAGAAGTGAGTACATTGTGAGTCTTTGATAATATCTTGTAAATTTTAATAGATTTTTAGAATCTGTAAACAACAAAAAATGATCAGCAATTCAGGCTCTTAGATCTTTGAATATTGTTTTTATTGGTATTAATATTGATTTTGTTATCAGTAAATTAATATCAAGCTAAATATTATTTTTATTATACGACCGCAAAAAATTTTGCAGTCAAATATTGGTATCACGTCATCGTTGTCTTCGGCATCTGCGTTGTCCGAAGAAATTTCGTTTCTGGACAATAACTTTAGTATATGTAAATAGAAATCTATGAAATTTAAACACAAGGTTTAAAACCACAAAAGGAAAGTGGGGATTGATTTTGGGGGTTATGTTCCTAACAGTTTAGGAATAAGGGGCCAAAAAGGGGCCCAAATAAGAATTTTTCTACTTTCCAGACAATAACTTGTGGAAAGGTGTATGGATCTCTCTGAAATTAGATCACAAGTTTCCATACCACAAAGGGATTGTTAGGATTGGCTTTGGGGGGTTATGCCTCAAACCGTTTAGGAATAAGGGGCAAAAAAGGGTGAAAAACAAGGGTTTCCTGGTTAATGGACAATTACTTAAAAGTACAATGTTATGTTTGGATTACCTCCCTTACACTGCTTTTAAATTATGTATAAAGAAATGTTGTATTGTCTTGAGGTGATTAGCTGTCATTTTATTTTTAGAAGATACTATTAAAAATGCTGATTAAGGAATATTAATTTTAGCCATGATTATGTATGTCATTTTCTATTTTAAGACTTTTATGATGTATTTATGGGTAATTATGGTTGCAAACTCCATTGGAAAATTGAATTGAGATTATGACCATATCTTGAGGGAAAGATTTTTTTTTTTTGAAAAGGGGGGGGGGAGGTGAAAACAAATTATTGGGGGGGGGGGACATTTTTTTCTCATTTCAGATTTCAGAAATTAAAAAGAAAATTTCTTCAAATATTATAATTTTTTTTTGCAAAAAAAGGGGGGGGGGTCAATTCACAACAGCATAGTGTATTGCCCAAAAGCAAAAAATTGAATATAAATTCAAATCATATAACCAATTCTAAGTTCTTTGACTACAGTTATTCTGTGTCAGAAACCTATAATGTGTCAAATATTTAATTACAATCCAAATTCAGACCTGTATCAAGCGCGAATATTGTGTCCATTTTTGTCCCAACTGTTCAGGGTTGGACCTCTGCGGTCGTATCCAGCTGCGTTGGCGAAGCAATTTATATACATTTGCGTATTCATGACTCTACAATCTGTCGATACCTGTATCTTGGCATTGCACAAAGTCATAATTTCTCTAACTCATGTTTATGACGTCTTTACACTAAATCCATTGGATGTTGGTTATGAACTGATCGATATTTTAGTCTTGGATGCATGACTTTTTTTATTATTAGTTGTTTTTGGCTTTGAACTAGCTGTCAGTAACTACGAGTACTCTCAGATCTGTACTTAGTGTCTTTTTGTTGTAAGGATGTATAAGTACCCTGCCATGTCCACTCTGTGTTTTTGTTAATTTTTTTTGTGCTTTGTATCTACCGTATCTGATGAGTTAAGCCCTTTTCAACAGTTTTTTATAGTTTGTTCATATGTTGTACTGTTACACCACTGTCCCAGGTTAGGGGGAGGGTTGGGCGCACGCTTACATATTAAACCTTGCCACATTCTGTATGTGCCTGTCCCAAGTCAGGAGCCTGTAATTCAGTGGTTGTTGTTTGTTGCTGTATATCATATTTGTATTTTGTTCATTATTTTGTACATAAATCAGGCCATTTTCATGTTTGAATTGTTTAACATTTGTCATTTCGGGGCCTTTTATTGCTGACTATGCCTGTATGGGCTTTGCTCATTTGTTGAAGGCTGTACGGTGACCTATAGTTGTTAACTTTAGTGTCATTTGGTCTCTTGTGGAGAGTTGTCTCATTGGCAATCATACCACATCTTCTTATTTTTATACGCCCTTTTATGGGACTTATTATGGTATACCTCTGTCCATCTGTCCGTCCATCTGTCCGTCCGTCGTCAACATGTCGGACATTAACTCAAAAACGCTTTAACCAATTTGCATAAAACTTTGGTGAATTGTTTATATCTATTGACGTAAGCTCCCTTTCGTTTTTTATAAATTTTAGATTTTACGTTTCCGAGTTATGGGGTTTTATTCATTAAAAAAAGGGAGATTTTCCAGTTTTCGGACAATAACTCAAGAATGCTTTCACCAACTTGCAAGAAATTGTGGTGAATTGTTTATATCTATTGACATGAGCTCCCTTTTGATTTTTATATATTTTAGATTTTACGTTTCCGAGTTACAGGGTTTTATTCCTAAAAAAAGGGGGATTTTCCAGTTTTTAGACAAAATATCAAAAATGCTTTCAGCAGTTCTTATGAAACTTTGGTGAATTGTTTATATCTATTGATGTAAGCTTTATAAATTTCACATTTTACATTTCTGAGTTATGGGGTCTTATTCATTAAAAAAGGGGGGATTTTCTGGTTTTCGGACAATAACTCAAAAATGCTGTCAGCAATTCTCATGAAACTTTGGTGAATTGTTTATGTCTATTGATGTAAGCCCTCTTTACATTTTCATAAATTTCTAATATGACATTGAGAATTAATTGAACTTTAATTGTTTATAGTCTGACAACAGATTTACTAAGTATTGGGCAACAGCACAGTGTATTGCACAACAGCAAGAAATCTTTAATTGAATATAAATTCAATTCATATAACCAATTTCAAGTTCTTTGACTACATTTATTCAGAAACCTATAATATGTCAAATATTTAATACAATCCAAATTCAGACCTGTATCAAGCTTGAATATTGTGTCCATTTTTGCCCCAACTATTCAGGGTTGGACCTCTGCGGGCATATCCAGCTGCGCTCAGCGAAGCAGTTTATTATATCTTAGGGTCCTATTGATTTTAACGCAATCAGAGAAATAACAAAAGGTACAGAGAAGAATATGTACAGTTAATATTTGTTTGGCAAATGCACTTAACTGTGTGATAATGGTATTATGATGACAGTAAGATAGGTCCAATTTTAGAAAAGACTCTATAAATAAAAAAATTGAAATCATAAAAAAAATACACAAAATTAAGGTTAGGCTTTTCAGCTATCCAAACAAAATATGCAGTTTTCCATCCACTATATATAATTTCTTCCTTTGCAGGCTTTAAGTGGGAGACAATCATCTGATACATGTAAACATTCAGTATCTGTCAGAAGGTTTAGTGGATATGGATTGTTAAATACAACTGTACAAGAAGTGGAGGGTTTTAAAGGTGCCGTGTGGTACAGATATACATGTCCTTATCAACAGGATTTACAAATGAATATAAGGTTTGTGCAAATTGTTTAACAGTTTCTGTACTTTTTTGAGTATGTCAGATTTTTACTGATGATTTTAGCTTTGTTTTCCTGGGTACATAGTTTGTCTTTGATCTTAGATGTAAATGCCTCTTTCCTGTGTAAGATATATACCGCTAGACTAAAGAAGAAAGGTCTGTGTATGATAGCATAGAGAAGAAAGGTCTAAGTAAGATAGTGCATTGAATTCAATGAAGAATTTCATTTATGAGAACCCTTAAAGGAGATGTACAAAATGAATGCATAAGACAGAAAATTAAAGAAATTTCTAATTAAGATACTGTAGTACAGAGAGAAAGTTTCTGTATATGATTTAAGAATAAGAAGATATGATATGATTGCCAATGACACAACTAATCACCAGAGACCAAAAAGCAAAGATGTAAACAACTATGAACTATAGGTCACCTACCACCTTTTACAATGATAAAAACCTATACTGTATAGTAAGCTATAAGCAACGCTGGTATGACAACATATTAAACAATTCAAAAGAGAAAACCAATGGTATGATAGCCTATTTAAAAAATTAATGTGTAAGATAATCCAAAGAAGAAATTTCTGTGTAGGTTAGCCTATTAAAGAAATTTCAGTGCAATAAAATTTACTTTAAAAAAAACAGAAACAGAGGGGAGAATATGCCAAGCGGATGTTATTCATACTCTTTTTTTGACTAGTATGTTTAACTCAGTTAATTCATGTCTTCAGAAATTCTCATTTCAGTTGTTAATTTTATGACATACTTTATTGTGCTAGACTTAAAGCTTTGCTTTTCAAGTTTAGAATTTAGGTTATATAATATTAAGGCTTGTTTTATTTCGGGTATCCTGGTGTGATTTTCACACATTTATTTTATATCTTTTTTTTGTTTCTAGACATCTTCCTGGAACAATAAATGCAGACACATTGTTAGGTTTTAACAACACTGGAAATGTTTGTAAGTAGCCAGATAATTTGAAAATTGTAGTACCATTGCAAGATTCCCTAGTTAACTTAATTGATGTTAGATACATAATGAAATCAAAGCTTTTTATTGAATTGATCTAGTCTTTTAAAAATTTCAGAACTTACAAATCAATATTTATGTTGTGGTGCTAAAAAATTTACTTATTTTTTTAACTCAAATGGTTCTTAGGGAAGATTGTCCTCTCCTATTCCAATTAATTAGTTTAAACCAAAGTTGCATGATTTATCCTTTTGGTAAAAAATATTTCTTTGTAAATTATTTTTTGATTCATCACAAAAAAAAAATGGCCACCATGGCAGAAAATAGAATAAAAGGGTAAAATGCAAGTAATTGTCTTATATCTTGAAAACCATGACAGAAAACCATAAATGATTAGAAATTTTGACAGAAAAATGTTAAGAATGTCAAGATCTCCTTACTCAATTTCTATCTAAGAAATCAGGCAACTCCTCATAGGAGCTCTTGCCCTTAAATGATGATTTTTTTTACCAGATTCAGAGATTTTGCTAAAATGTTGAAATTTATTAAGAAGATAGAGACTGTTAACAGCAAACATTATCTACAATACAAGATTTATGAAACCTCCAGCTTAACTTTAAGCATAGGTTGACTCTTTCTAGGAAAATAACGATTTTTGAACTTAGACTGTTTGCCTATTATCTTGAAACCTAACAAAGATAGAAAGAAACTGTAGACAGAAAAAATTATCAGCAATAAAAATCTATAAAAATGCCAATATGAACAAAACCATCAAGTCACTCCTTATAGAAATTATTGCCCTAAAATGACAATTTTTGCCAAGTCTAGCATTGTTTGCTTGTTATCTTGAAAATTTAATGGATAAACAGAAACAAATGATCTGTATTACAAGAAAATAGGAATGATATGACCAATTGACTCTTTAAAGAAGTTATTGCCCTTGAATAAAAATATTTTGTCAAATTATTGCTTTTCCTCCTTTAATCTTGAAAATTTTCATAGGCAGACACTGAGTCAATATGCACAAATTATTTCAGGTAGGCGGTATTAGTAACTTTTTTTTTTCAATTCCTCTGTCCATATGGTAAACTTGAATATGTAATATTTCATTTCACAGCTGAGACATTTTCACATATTTATTGAATTTCAGGTCACCATTTGAGATTTAATTATCTGCAAGTTAGCAAACTCTGAAGAGGTTTGTTGATGTGGCTTATTAATGTAAAAAAAAAATACCCTATTTTCGAGCAATGAAATGATCTGGAAATTCAGTTCTTTGAAAACCTTTAATAACTCTATAGTTTTTACATCTTTATTCTATGGTCCTCTACTCTTCAAAACAGCACACATAGTTATAACTGTTAAGCGCAGTCAAAAAGCGGGACATAGGTATGCTGTTTCCGGCGTCGGCGGCATCATCAACAATGTATTAGTTTGTGATTAGGTCTGGTTTATGGTGAACCACTAGTGGTAGGTCAATGATATTTGGTATGTATTTGTATAAGCATTGGCAAATCTCATTTCCATGGAGATTATTTGACCCTGCCCCCTCAGTCATGGTCTAATGACTTTGAAACTTTTGCTTAGGTTACATGTACTAGTTTGTGATTAGGTCTAGTTTATGGTGAACCACTAGTGGTAGGTCAATGATATTTAGTATGCAGTTGTATTAGCATTGGCACATCCCATTACCACAGAGATTATTTGGCCCTGCCTCCTCAGTCATGGTCTATTGACATTTAAACTTTGCTTAGTTTACATGTATTAGTTTGTGATTAGGTCAGTTTATGGGGAGCCACTAGTGGTAAGTCAATGATATTTGGTATGCAGTTGTATAAGCATTGGCATATCTCATTTCCATGGTGATTATTTGGCCCCGCCCCCTCAGTCATGGTCTATTGACTTTGAAACTTTTGCTTCGTTTACATGTATTAGTTTGTGATTAGGTCAGTTTAAGATGAACCACTTATGTTAAGTCAATGATATTTGGTATGCAAATGTATTGGCATTTGCAAGTTTCATTTCCATGGAGATTTTATAACCCCACACCCTCATTTTGGTTCATTGACTTTGTAATTTTTACATAGTTTACAAGTTAATGTTTGTGTTTGTTTAAAGGGAACGACTTATGAGATTTCAATGGTATTTGGTATACAGTTGTATTAGTCTTGACACATCTCATTTCCATGGAGATTTTTTAGCCCTGTACCTTCAGTCATGGTTCATTGACTTTAAATATTTGCATAACTTACATATTAATAAAGTATTGCTATTTTAATTCCAACATTTGCATTATCAAAATAACAAATAGATGAGACATATCTCTGTGTTAACTTAATTTTATAAATCTTTTGATTATACAAAACAGTATTTTATAATACACAATGAACTATGTTAAAACTTTATAATACTTTTCAGGTGTATGGCCATCAGAAGAAATAATGGCTTATTATTGCATGAAAAATATAGAGCAGTTCAAGTAAGATTTAATTTTGAAAATGATAAAATCAGTAGATGTATTACAGTATATATATATATATGAATCAAGTCTTTGTGTTGGATCTGTAATGTAAATTCATACAAAAAGTTAGTTTTGTTTACATAGATAAACAAGTTTTTGTTCAAATTATACAAAGTGTACTAAAGTACTAACTAGAAAAAATAAGTCTAGACTTAAAGAAACAAATTTAACATAAGATCAATTTGAATTTCTTTACAAAATTAGTCAATATATAATTCACTAGTAACTGTTAACTGCAATTGTTATCTTTTCAACTCTTGCTCTTTTTAATTCTGTAAAAAAATGATACTGAATGAATGGTACAGTGTTTGCACGTAGATTTCAATAACCTTTTTTCATGTAGAAACTGTAATGTATGTGAGCTTGGAGGAGGAATGACCTGTCTTGCTGGTATTGCTGTAAGTAGGAATGTTTAATAATTCCCCTACTTATAATTATAGTTGTAAATTGTATAGACTGCATTTTGAATTTTGAGAAATAATTCATTTAATTTCATCAGTTTTGTAAATTATTAAAAAATGTTTTAATTATCAGACTTATAGCTATAAAGTACTGACTACCGGTAATAGCAAGTACAAAATTAGAACAATGTTGAATTGAATGTTTAGCATTTTTATAACCATGTTTTCAACACTTCAGTTATAATGTCTCTTAACTATATAAGCTTGGAATGTACTATGAGGGCTATCTATAAACAGTTAAACTTTGAAATTGAGTTTTTTTTATTACTAATGTTGTAGTTTTGTATTTACTGACTTCTTTAAATAGCATAAATAATTTTGAATATGAAATCAAATAGAACTATCAAACTGTGGAATTACAATAAATCCCCAAAATGTTAGTTTACATTGTTAATTTTTACCTTATATTTTCTTTTCTTTTTTGGTAGATGTGTATGCTATCAGAGGCAAATCATATTCTAGTTACTGATGGAAATGAAGATTCTGTTTTAAGTAAGATTTGTGAATGCTACCTTAAGAGTACAGTTGAGATTTGATTAAAAATTCTGTTTAAGTTCATGTTTTTTAGTAGTACCTTTTTTTTTCTGTTATAAATAATTTTGGACTTGTTAAGTTTGCAAGCGCAAGTAGAAGTAGAAGTAAATTTCATCAAAGCTCTTATCATCATTTGTTAAAGCCCTTTTTAGAAATTCATTTGTGGAATCACAAATTTTACTCTAATAAAATTATAATTTTAAGTTGGTTATCTCCCTTCATGGGAAGTAGAACTTCTCCCCGGCAATGAAGCTCAATGAAGAGTCAATGATTAGTAGTTTTTAAACCCTGATGATTTAAAGATCATATTTGGTTCATATTAATATAAAAATTATTAATGGTATTTTGTCTTCCAACATACCTGTTATCTAACTGGATTATAAACTTGGAAATGTTTGTAAACTAAAGTAACACATTGTTTTCTATTTGACTTCTCACTGTTGTTCTGGACTGGATCGAACTAGTTTTCATACCAGTATACTTCCCTCTGGACTGGATCGAACTAGTTTTCATACCAGTATACTTCCCAACAAGGGGAAGAAATATTTAAATGTAATTTTAAATCATGTTTCAATTTTGGAAGTGAGTTTCTAGAAAGTCCTTTAAACACAAGGTTGGTAACAATTGCGATATATTTTTATTAAATCCTCAAAAGTATTTGAATACAGAAACTTAGCCATGTTAGCATAAAGAATGAATTTTTTTAAAGGGCTGAGATTTGGGCAATTATTTTTGTTTTTGTCTATTTCTCAGAAACTGATATAGCATTGGTATTCACCACTACAGATCTATTATACTGTAGGATTATTGCATGAGCTTCCAAGTGCAATATATATTCTACAAGATATAATATTCACCAATAGTCATGCAATTACTCTTAAAAAAGTTATATTTTGCACTATAGCAATATCATATAATTTTGCACACTAATTTTACATTACATTCTGTGGGAAATATAACGTTGCATACAATAAAATTATTTATCTATATTATGTTTCCCTGATACAGACATACATCTCACACTTGTGGAACTTTGGTTGAGATTAGCATTTGTCCATTTCTCAGATGATATTTCACCTTCACAATTTAATTTTGGATGGTACATCAGTTCTAAATCATTTTATTTACCATGACATATATATTTTTTTGCTTGAATGGCTTTAGTTTAAAGTCTTTAATTAGGTTAGTTTCTCAAAATCCCATTGTTGTATATCAATGGTATTCTTCTGTTCTTATTAACTGGTAATACAAACTAATTTCTGAATATTTGGTTCTTAACCTCTTTATCTTTCATACTTGAATACTTATGCTTATGATCTGACCTTTAGATCTGAACCTGTGATCATGACCTTCATTGTACAAATGGCCATTCTTTTTTAACTCAAAAAGGTAGCCATCTCACATAGTTAAAATGAATTCTAATATGGCAACCTATATATTGTCAACTGGTATAATCACAGTATATCTACTTTAAGCGCAAATGCATTAATACACAAAATTGGCTGTTCTGGGTTACGCCCAACTTATTTATACGATCATTTAAACTCAATTTGCAACTGTAAAACCCACGTTTTACGTAGACCATACAATACTGTTATCTCTATTCTAATGCAAAATGAACAAATCAGGCCGTTTCAGTTATTATTTCGGTGTAAAATTTCATAAAACCAAAATGCTGCAAAATGATGTTATTGTCTTTATGCAACTAAACAAGGCGAAGTCATATGTATGCTTCCGGCATCAAATGTAAACACCGGGCATTTTCAAGCTTCTTGTACACCTCAGCATGTAATAAAATTAGATAAAAAGAACATTTTAGGTGAATAATGTGAGTTTTTTTATTATTGAATAATATATATAATATTATTAAAATTATTATATGGGGGTAAAACGGATCAGCCTAAACAGTATTGTGAGTATATGGCTTTCACGGTTGACAAAAGTACCGTATTTGTCCTATTTGAATTGAAATAATTCATGGCAGCCATAGATTTGTTTTCATTTTACCACGGGTTAGGCATTTATATTCATATTTTACCCCTAGCCTTAGCTTGGGATAAATAATCGAATATGAATGCCCAACCCATGGTTAAATGAAAACAAATCTATGGCTGCAATGAATTATTTCTTTAGCGTCCATGTCTGAGAAACATACAATCTTGAATATTTCAGATCTAACATGCATTCTTTTCTTTTACAGATTTAAGTAAAATTATTCAAGATAAAGAAAATAAAGTTAGTTTTAAAGTTGAAGATTGTGAAACAAGGTAAATTGATGAAAATACATTTTTTGTATATGAAGAAACTACCTTTGAAAGACTGAGTTTACTGTATATTGGGCCTTCTTCTATTGAGAGTTGTTCCTACAAAAGCTGAAACCAAATTTAAGAAATCTTGGGAGATATTACTTCATTTCTTGAAAAGGTGCTAGTTGTCAGAGATTGCTAAGAGAAGATCATCTCAAATCAGGAATTCTCCTATGGCAGGATCTAGACATATTTTTTTTCACAACAGGCAAAAGCTCATGGTATTACATGTATCCGTATCTCTGGCAAAATTGCCTCTTTCACATTTGTCTTTTAATGATTTATTTTTCTCTCCTGCGAAGAAAGTCACAGTATGTGAGACAAAGGTATTACTATCCGGTGGCGGCGGCGTAAACTATTTGTTTAAAGCTTTATATTTCAGATGGTAGAAGACCTGGATGCTTCATACCTTGTATTCAGATACCTTATGTAATAATGTTTCCGTCTGTTATATGCCCATTGTCCTTGACCTCATTTTCATGGTTCATTGACTGCTTGAAAAAAAATTACAGTTTTTTTGTCATGTGAATTTCTCACTTATTATGAGTAAAATGATAACTATATTTGGTATATGGATTCCTTGCAAAGTCTACATGTCCGTCAGACAGGGTTAACCTGACCTCCACCTTAATTCATGGATCAGTGATCAAGGTTAAAGTTACGTGATTAGGTCCTTTTCTCAGATACTACAAGCAGCAGGTCAACTATATGTGGTGTATGGAATGATTGTAAGGGGTACATGTCAGACTGGCAGGTTTCATCAGACCTTGACCTCATTTTCATGGTTCATTGGTCATTGTAAATTTTTTGTGTTTTGGTCTGTTTTTCAAGTACTGTAAGCAATAGGTTAACTATATTTGGTGTATTGAATGATTGTAAGGTGTACATGTCTATCCAGCTGGTGTCATCTGACCTTTACTTCATTTTAATGGTTCATTGGTCAATGTTAAGTTTTTGTCAAACCTGTGACTTTTGTCGCAGAAAGCTCGACATAGGGATAGTGATCCGGCGGCGGCGTTAACTAACTTCTTAAAAGCTTAATATTTCAGAAGGCAGAAGACCTGGATGCTTCATACTTTGTATATAGATGCCTTATGATATGAAATTTTTGTCTGTCATATGTCCATTGTCCTTGACTTCATTTTCATGGTTCAGTGATACTTGAAAAAAAAGTTCAGATTTTTTGTAGTGTTAATTTCTTTCTTATTATGAGTAATAGGATAACTATATTTGGTATGTGCGTACCTTGCAAGGTCCTCATACTGGTCAGACAGTTTTCACGTGACCTCAACCTCATTTCATGGATCAGTGAACAAGGTTAAGTTTTTGGTGGTCAAGTCCATATCTCAGATACTATAAGCAACAGGTCTACTATATTTGGTGTATGTAATGATTGTAAGGTTTACATGTCCAAATGGCAGGTGTCATCTGACCTTGATCTAATTTTCATGGTTCAGTGGTTATAGTTTAGTTTTGTGTTTTGGTCTGTTTTTCTAATACTGTATGCAATAGGTCAACTATATTTGGTGTATGGAAATATTTTACGATGTACATGTCAGTCTGGCAGGTTTTATTTGACCTTGACCTAATTTTCACAGTTCATTTCTTAAAGTTAAGTTTTTGGGATTTAGTCTGTTTTTCTAATACTGTATGCATAAGGTCAACTATATTTGGTGTATGGAAATATTTTATGATGTACCGTACATGTCAGTCTGGCAGGTTTTATTTGACCATGACCTCATTTTCACAGTTCATTGCTTATGTTAAGTTTTTGTGTTTTGGTCTGTTTTTCTAATACTGTATGCAGTAGGTCAACTATATTTGGTGTATGGAAATATTATACGATGTACATGTCAGTCTGGCAGGTTTTATTTGACCTTGACCTAATTTTCACAGTTCATTTCTCAATGTTAAGTTTTTGTGATTTGGTCTGTTTTCTAATACTGTATGCATAAGGTCAACTATATTTAGTGTATGGAAATATTTTACGATGTACATGTCAGTCTGGCAGGTTTTATTTGACCTTGACCTCATTTTAACGGTTCATTGCTTATGTTAAGTTTTTGTGTTTTGGTCTGTTTTTCTTAAACTTTAAGCAATAGGTCAACTGTATTTGGTGTATGGAATGATTGTAAGGTGTATATGTCTGTCTGGCAGTTATCATCTGACCTTCACCTCATTTTCATGGTTCATTGATCAATGTTCATTTTTCCTGGGTAACTTTGTTTCTTAGATACTATAAGCAATAGGTCAACTATATTTGATGCATGGAATGATTTTTAGGTGTTCATGTCTGTCTGGCAGGGTTCATCTGACCTTGACTTCATTTCATGGTTCATTGGTCAATATAGAATTTCAATGGTTTGGTCTGTTTCTTTTATAATATATAAGCAATAGGTCATCTATATTCTGTGTATGGAATGATTGTATTGAAGGTGTAAATGTATTTCCGGCTTGGTTTATCTGACCTACACCTCATTTTCTTGGATCATAAATGTTAATGTGATACTTGTAGTAAAACTTTTTATGTAGGACTATCAACATAAAATCAATGGTCAGTATAAAAGGCAAGACATTTCAGCATGTGCACTCTTCTTGTGCTTTGGTATTTTTTTTCAAATACTGTTAGCAATAGGTCAACTATAATGGGTGTATGGAATGATTCTAAGGTGTACATGTCTGTCTAGTCGGTGTTATCTGACCTTGACCTCATTTCATGGTTCATTGGTTAACATTAAGTTTTTGTGTTTTGGTCTGTTTTTCAAATACTCATAGTAATAGGTCAACTATAATTGGTGTATGGAATGATTGTAAGGTGTACATGTCTGTCTAGTCAGTATCATCTGACCTTGACCTCATTTACTGATTCATTGGTTAACATTAAGTTTTTGTGTTTTGGTCTGTTTTTAAATTACCATAAGCAATGTTTAGTGTATGGAATAATTGTAAGGTGTACATGTCTGTGTGACAGTTTTTTATCTGACCTTGACCTTATTGTCATGGATCTTCAAAATGTTAAGTTTTTGTGATACTTGTAGTAAAACCTTTATCTTTAAGACTTTCAACATAAAATCAATGGTCAGTTAAGCAGGTGAGACATTTCAGCGTGTGCACTCTTGTTTTATTATTAATTAATCTTGTCAGTAACAAACTTGTTTGCCTCCAGTTATGACTTCAACATTTTTTTTCTGCAATAATCTTAGTCCGTCAAACAGGGTTAACCTGACCTCCACCTCAATTCATGGATCAGTGATCAAGGTTAAAGTTAAGTGATTAGGTCCGTTTCTCAGATACTACAAGCAGCAGGTCAACTATATGTGGTGTATGGAATGATTGTAAGGGATACATGTCAGACTGGCTGGTTACATCTGACCTTGACCTCATTTTCATGGTTCATTGGTCAATGTTAATTTTTTTGTGTTTTTTGTCTGTTTTTCAAGTACTATGAGCAATAGGTCAACTATATTTGGTGTATCGAATGATTGTAAGGTGAACATGTCTGTCTGGCAGGTATCATCTGACCTTGACCTCATTTTTATGGTTCAATGGTCAATGTTAAATTTTTGTGTTTTGGTCTGTTTTTCAAATACTAATATCAATAGGTCAGCTATATTTGATGTATGGAATGATTGTAAGGTGCACATATCTGTCTGGCAGGTACAATCTGACCTTGACCTCATTTTCATAGTTCATTGGTCAATGTTAAGTTTTTGTGTTTTGGTCTGTTTTTCAATTAGCATACGTAATAGGTCAACTATATTTGGTGTATGAAGTGCCACAATTTATCTGACTTTGACCTCATTGTCATAGATCTTTAAAAATGTTAAGTTTTTGTATTTGCTTTTAGTAAAACCTTTATCTTTAAGACTTTCAATATAAAGTCAACGGTCAGTGAAGCAGGCGAGATATTTCAGCGTGTGCACTCTTGTTTCACATTTATATCAATCTTTTTGAAGTGAAACAATCTCATTAAATGGCAATTTTTGTGGTCTACTAGCTACAAAAAACTTTCACTTGATTGAATAAAATCACATTAATTAGACAACAACATGATTATAGCAGGTTCTTCAGGACAAGGCACAAGGAAATTACATTCCCTGAAATGTAGATGTAATAGTTCATTCAGAAAGGTCTTAGCTATGGTATACATATATATATATATATAGAAAGTTCAAGTTCAAGTTATTAAAGTTATTTATAGAAATGTATGATTGTTTTTGTTTTTACTATGTACTGTTGAATTTTGACTTATGAAGGGCTTTAGTGCAAAACATCAAAAGCTGCCAAAATAGCCTCATTTTGAGATCTTGTCATTATCATTTGATATGCAAGAGCTTTACCCAAAAAGATATTTTGCTACAAAATGTATTTTCCAAAGATGTTAAAATGAGTGTAAAATATCTTTTTGGGTAAAGTGTTTACTCATTTATATTTCGACTATAAATTATGCATTAAAGGCCAATTTAGATCAAATATATAAATTTCGACATGTTAATGGCATCATGGTAACTAACATTACAATAAATCTTTCTTCTCTTAAGTTTAAAGATTTATCAATAAAATTGACATAATTTTAAAAGGCTTTTAATTTATAAGTTTACTTATTTTGCTATTTCAAGGGTCTACTAATGGCTCTTATCTTACCTCCCCCTTTACCCTTTCTACTTATCTGATGTCTACAAATGTCTTGAGGTCCACATGTCATTGTACCAAGCCCTCAGACAATACATTCTTTATAAGAAATCTGAATATTACCACCAGTGGAGACTGAATATTTAAAGTCACATACAAATGTGTACCTAGTTTTTATATTTTCATTACAGAGTACTTAGATGGGGAGATGGAGAGTTAGAACAAGATCTGACAAATAAGTTTGACTTTGTGTTGTGTGCTGACTGGTAAGCTAATTTATTACACAAAACTGATCCAATTGTAGGCCCTTTCACTTGATATTTTTTGTGACAATATTGGCTGTCCATTAAAATTTTGTCTGAAACTAGTCTGACAATCAGTGTGAATCAAATTCCTGACACACAGTCTGTTTAGCATCCTTGCAAACCATCCAACATACCTACCAATTAGTTTGCAGAAAATAGAAATAATTCATCGATAATTCACTTTTCCAGTAAAATGGCAAGTGCTATTGGAACTATGTGTTGTGTAAAAACTTAATGTTAAAGACATAATTGTGATGGTTTTCCATAGACCCTTAGATATATTATTAATTGCTTAAACCCCCCTCATTCTTGTTTGATAAGGTATATAATTTCTTATTTTTCCAGCATAAGTCTCTCATTAATTTTATTTATTTCAGTCTGTTTTTTGAAGAAGGAAGAGAGGATCTAATAAAAAAAGTATTCAATCTCTTGAAAGATGAGGTATGTACAGAGATAAAGGAGAAAAACAAATGTATAATGTGTCCTTTCTCTCTCATTCACAACAGATGAACAAATGCACATACTAATACTTTTGTTTACATTGTTTACTAACAATATGGAGATGATATATTTTTGCCGATCAAGAGCTTCCTTTTACAAAGCTTTTTATTACTTACTAGTATAGTTCTGATGTATAAAGTGTGCAATAATTGCAGGTTACTTTAAATCTTTGATCATATTCTGATGATATTTTGCTGTTATAAAATTCTTAGATTGTACAACTATAAACATCAGTTACGTATGTATGACCATGATCTTTATTAAAAGACTATGGTGGTACAACAATAATTTTTCTCAAACAGCTATAATTATCATCTATAGAAGCGAAGTCAGAGTACAGGATTACACTGTTGTCACTGAGAATGTCTGACTAGGTAATATGAAAAGGATGCTTGAGTAATAAGACATTATTTAACTTATTTTCTCAAGATTGGCACTGAAAATTTAAGAAAATAATATATATATAAAAAAAGCTTGTTGGCTAAAGATTAAGATGGAGATAAAAAAAACCAAAATACATCCAGAGGTAAACAGTTTAGAATTTTTTCTCTCTCATATATGCAAAAAGTCAAACAGATTTTTTTGCCCCTGCCATGGCGGAGGGGGCATTAAGTTTTACCCTTGTCCATCTGTATGTCCGTCCGTACATCCCAAAATTAGTTTCTGTTCTCTAACTTTAGTTTGTCTCAACTAAATGTTATGAAACTTATACACCATGCTTATTATCACCAAGCACAGATCAAGGTTGAATTTGGGTGGCGTCACTTTTACTGTTCTGGAGTTATGTCCCTTTTATAAATTAAAAAATTGCAGAATTAGCACTTTATTAGCTGTATATTTTTCAAGCGGGATCATCTGTGTCATATGGACACATTCTTCATTTATTACAAAACAAGCTACACATATGTTAGGTTTAATACTTTTATATTCGTAATTGACAGGGTACATCATTAATGTTTGCTCCAAAAAGAGGCACCACTTTCGACGATTTCGTTTCTTTAGCCAAATCAGTATTTAATGTAGAAGTGATGGAAAATTATGATGATACTATCTGGGATTTACACTGCAAGGTAATTTGTTTTAATTGATCTATGATAAAATCAAGAACATTGATCAAAATAAAACTCCTTAATCTAGTGTTTACTGCAAAATGTTGCTTATCTTTAATTGTTAAAGCCTGTCATCATCCAAATGTAGGTAGACACAATGTTTGTATTTGATTACTAATTTTTTTTGTTATTTATTTTAACCGATAAAAAAATGATACAATCACTCATCAACTTTATAGATACAGGTTTTTCTACAGCATTTCTCAAAAACTTCTGATGTCAGGGGGATATGATTTTATAATAAAGCATTCTGAAAATTCAAACTTTTTAAAATAAATATAGAAATGGTTGTCTGTATCTTTATTTTTGTTCATGATAGAATGTTTGTGTTGAAGGCAGATGTTTGGTAATTCCTGTAGAATTGTTTGACAACTTGTTTTGACTTGAGGGATTTATGCATGACATACCATACCACCATTTGTCTTTCATTGAAGACTGTATAATTAAATGCAGTTGTTGTTCTTATTTTACCAATTTGAAAATCTTAGTTTATTATTTTGATCCTGTTGCTCTCTAGTATTTGTAAAACATTTTATAAATTTTCTGAATTTACAGTTCTTATTTATCTAAACATATTTGTAACTAATTCTCTTTGTATTATTTTCAGTTAAAGACAGATGCCAATGGACTTTATGATGAGAATATACATTATCCATTGTTTATGAAATTGACAAAGAAACAATCATGAACTACTCAATTTTTACCATGTGATATTTACATGATATTTTTTTTACCACTTTACATTCCTTCCAGTGTTTAATGTCTAAATATTTTTACCACAATAAAGGATCATTTACTTTATTTTTTGTCTTTTGCCTACAGTGAGTTACTAGTTAAGTGAAGGTGAGATATGCATGCTAATCTGACTCCTGCAATGTTTAGCTTCAATGTCAGCAACATCAGAAATAAATTTGAAGAAATGTTTTCATGTCAAATTTTAGACATATAAGATTCTGTGTGTCAAAAATTTTATAACAATTTCTTTTAGGGTAATTTTATCAAACAGAAAAAAATAGATGATTAGTGAATTTTCTATCTATTTTAATGACAAAAATGTCATTCTTCAAATAGTCAACCTATACAATTTAGAAAGGAATAGAATTTTTTTTGGAAGGAAAACAATAACACGAAAATTTGGCAGAGTACATTACTATCATGAACAAATTTCATTATTAACTATTAATATTGTCGGAAATAATCATTTCATCACTTCAAAATAAGAATATGCGATCTTTCAAAGTGTCAAGATATGATTTTTCTGTTGTAGAGTGTTAATCAAAGCCACACATACATACAATTTGTATTGTCGTAGATCAAGCTATGAAATTTATATAAAAACTAGTGAGACATTTCAACCTTCTTTAAAATGAGGTATAGACCAAAATTGTGTGTTAATGTAAAAATGTAAACATACCATTTCTTCAAAATACCACTATGAATAAATTGCTTTAAATAAAAAATAGTAAGAATTTGTCAATAGGGCAATAAGAAATCACAAGACAGAAACACCAAGGCCAAAAAAAAAAAAAAAATAGACAACAATCCAAAAATATAAACAATTGAAGTGCTTGTGAGCATTGAAGGGTAAAGATTGCTTTCATTTTGCATTTCAAACTTAGAGAACTAAATATTGCACTGTATTATAAACCAATTGGACATATATGGGCAATATTTCTAATTGGAGTTATCTTCCTTTGTCTTTAATTGAATAAACCATACACAACTAAAAAAAAATTTGTGTCTCTCGCGTTGAAATATGCAAAATGCAAGACATTGGGATTACTATCTGTCGACAGTGTAAACTATTTGTATTGAACTTTATATTTTAGAAGATAGAAGACCTGGATGCTTTGGTATGCAGATGTCTTATGTTACCAAGTTTCTGTCTGTCGTATGTCCATTGTCCTTGACCTCATTATCATAGTTCAGCCACTGCTTGACAAAAATGTATAGTTTTTTTGTCATGGAAAGTACTCTTATTATGCGTATAAGGATAACTATATTTGGTATAAAGTAAAATCACAAAAATACTGAACTCCTAGGAAAATTCAATCGGAAAGTCCCTAATCACATGGCAAAATCAAATGACAAAACACATCAAACGAATGGACAACAACTGTCATATTCCTGACTTGGTACAGGCATTTTCAAATGTAGAAAATGGTGGATTGAACCTGGTTTTATAGCGCTAAACCTCTCACTTGTACGACAGTCTTATCAAATTCCATTATATTTACAACGATGCGTGAACAAAACAGACATTATAAATAAAATAGTCAAAATATGGGTACAGCAGTCATCACTGTGTTACAATATCAAAACAAACAATTATTTACAAAAAAAAGCACAAAAGCATCTATCAAATTAAAAACCACATTCATTGCTTCGCGTGTCTGACGTCAGAAAATGTAAACGTCATATAAGAAAAAAGTTTGTCATTCAATGTTTATTCAAAACAATTTTATAATTTCACATGGGGAATGTTGGTATTCAGGGTTAAAAAATCAAAAGTTATGTTAGAATTAATTTCAGAAATAGACCGAGATTTAAAATTGTCCAGAAGTTCTTTAGAATTTTTAAGAATCCACATATGGTAAATACCACTATGCGAGTAAAATAAATTTGTCGTTTGTCGTTCAAAGTATTTTCAAATTTATAATAGAACAATAACATAATGACATATAATAGAACAATAACATAATGACGGGATCTTTTAAAGTACAGAGTCACGTTATAAGAACCACAGAAACACAAAAAGTCCCATATACAAAACACACCAGCAAAAATGAAAGATAATACAAACACATTGACGGGATGTATAAGTACCTAGCCACGTCAAATGGATATCACAGAAAACAAACCAAACAGTAAAAGTAATATTAATAATAGAACAAAGACAAATGAAAGAACAATATTACACGTTGTTAAGATGATAAACAACGTCAGTATGCAGAATCTATACTTCAAGACCATCATGTATTATTTGTGAAGTTGATACGAATATTTATCAACAAGGTCTTGGTACCTTCCGATGAACTTTTTTAGAAAAAGGACGAGACGTTCTTTGACATACCCCTGGTTCATCAACTTACTGCTCAGACACTGGTGACGTTTTACAAAGTCTGAGTAGGAGCTGCAAGCTCTTGAATATCGAATAAGTTGGGAAATGTATATCCCATATGCAGGTATATGGGATCCTTGCAAGGTCTACATGATGGTCAGCTAGGGTTCACCTGACCTCTACCAGTGAACAAGATTAAGTTTTCGTAGTCAAGTCCATATTTCAGATTCTATATATTTGGTGTATGGAATGATTGTAAGGTGTACATATTTGACTACCAGGTTTCATCTGACCATGACCTTATTTTCATGGTTCATTGGTCATTATTAAGTTTTTGTGGTTTGGTCTATTTATTAGGTATTATAAGCAGTAGAGCCAATATATTTGGTGTATGGAATGATTGTAAGGTGTCAGGCCAGCTTCATCTGAGCTTGACCTCATTTTCTTGATTTATTGATCAATATTAAGTTATTATGGTTTTGGTTGTTTATCAAATACTTTTTACATACATGTAATCTGCCCTTTACCTCATTTACATGGATCATTGATGTCAAGTTTGTGAGATAGTTTTAGTAAAACCTTCATTTTAAAGACTTTTAACATAAATTCAATCATGATAGGTAAATCAGGCATGACATTTCAGTGTGTGCACTCTTGTCTTGATAAAATTGAGAATGGAAATGGGGAATGTGTCAAAGAGACAACAACCCAACCAAAGAGCAGAAAAGTATGGTTTTACACATACACATTATTTTGTTATTTGAATATCTGAGTAAATATCATTTATAATGCTTGACATAATAATAAGATCCTGAGTGTTCTTGTCCTTTCACTATGTTGTTTGTGCTCTTAAAGGAAGAGAGGAGGCCTTGAAATTTTATCATTCAAGCCAATGATAATAGGGTTTTGATTGCATTTCATGCAATCTTGACAAAAAAAAAAAGATTTACTAACTCAAATTCCAAGAGTTACCAGGTGGAACTCAGGTGCTTCTATAATTGTGCCTGTTGTCTTGAATAAGAACAAGAATAATCCAATGAGTGGTTATAAATGAAGAGAGGAGGACAGGATTGTGGATACAACAAATGTAACATATCCATCTTCAACATTACAGTGAATCAAGTCATAATGTCTGTCAAATTTATATTCATATCCAAAAATCAAATGGATAAGTCACAGTAAAACTTGAGAAATATACCGAAAAGCTATTTGTTAACAAAGAGTAAACGACAAGACACTTCTTAGTACCTACAGACATGTATCAAAGTAAAATCAATTTTTGTTCAGTCATGTAAAAACACTTAAAGCACAGCAGCACTAGCCTCCTTTAAACAGTAGAACAGAATATAGATCTTTTTATCAACTTAAATTTATTTTCAAAATTTATTCAACAATTTTCATTCATAATACATATGATTTAATCAAACATATTCATAAAAACATATTCATATAATCAGAAGATAGAGTAAACCACAAACTTAGACTTTTCTCTGAAAATGACATGACACTAGCATTACACATACATATATATAACATGTAAAAAACTGCATAAATTGCATTAAAGTACAATACATTGTCTACATTACATCTAACTGAACAACCAGTAAAATGTTAAAAGCAGATAAACATCCGCATATTAAATTACATTAATTGTTTCAATTGAAAAGGTTTTAAACCCTAAGGTTCCCCGTTTTGAGGCTCTGTTAAAATGCATCTATAAGAATCCTCAATTGATATCCACTTTCTATAAAATGGACTGAATCTATCAGAAAATTAAATGGAATTGTTGTTGAAATTTACATCTGGCTAAAAGAACAAATATAGTTACAGCTTTTCTTTCCATTTTCCTTAATGTAGTTTGGGTGTGTGTTCAATATTATGCATCCTTAAAGATCCTTTTAATGATTTTGTGTTGCTGGGCTGCTGTTTCATTGACACAAACGCTGCATCTTCCTTTATTCATTTGTAATGGCCAATATTAACCTCTGTAATTGTACTACACTAATAAATGCTAAATTTAGTATGTGCAGAAAAATATTACATTAAATCATTGCATCTGTAATTATAATTTAGAAAAATAACTTTTCTAAATGTCAAATAAATCTACAGACTGCAATTCCATTAAGGACAATTTGCCTGTAAAGTAAATGAAATAACGCACAGTACGTCAAAGGCAAAACCTTTTCATAGTGCGCTAAAGCAAAAACCAATAGATATTTTTTTTATTTTGTATCTGATTAGAAAGGCTGTATATTTTCTATGTTGAAGTAACATAACTTCTCCATTAAGAAACTTTGCTGTTTGATCTTGATTTTAAATGTAAAGTGAAAACATTAGCATGTAACTTTAGTAAGAAATGTACAAAATACATTTGAATTAGTCAACTTCTAATGCTCAAACTCCAGGGGACCAACTAACATTGAGTAACCAAAGTTTATGTTGGTACCAGAACCGAATTGTCCATTGCTTATTTTTGTAACTTTTGGTTTGTCTACAAGTTTTAGGGATTATTACATTTCTGTGCTAATTATGTGGTCCTGTGCAATTATTACATGCATATTGTGACAAGAACATGTTACTGCGATATCAACCCTCCTTTGTACAAGACCAACATACTGAACTGGATTTTTAACTAATAGTTTTTAAGGTATAAGTCTGCAGGAAGACCCATCACGCTACCTGGACAAATTATTCCGACTCCAAACCAACCAGTCTTTGCTCTTACTCCTAAAATATTTCTAATGTTTTAGAGTGTATATTGTGTTATTTTGTATGTTTTTGTTGAAATAAATATATTTTTTTTAAAATAAGTTGTGTTATTTGTCTTTTGAATATTCCTTGATAAATCATTGTTGGATCCATGTCCGTATCATTAACCTCTGGATCTAGACCTTAGACCATTTCATATTATTATCTCCTTGACCAATAGACAAGACCATACCTGCTAACTTTTTAAAATCTCCATGGGGGATTTTAAGCACAGTAGGACCTTAAACTCCTCTTATATTGTCTTAAGTGTTCTTAATCTACTACTGTATTGTTTAAATGAGTATATATGTGCTTAAATACCCTTTTAACTCATTTGAATGCCTGTTTTAAGTTAAAGAATTTCAAAATTCAGGTCAACACCTCTGATGGGGGATATCCCCCATAAACCAGGATAGTTGGCAGGTCTGCAAGACACCTCAAATAGATAATATTTCAAACTTATCAATTGAGAAAAAAATAAGAAAACATTTACATATTTTATTAAATTTAACAAAAATTTTATCTGACAAAACATGAAATGATGATGTAAACATCACACATATGCTAATGAGCAAGAACACATTTATGCAAATAAGCACATTTAAATAAAAATAAAAAGCACTTAATTTGCTTCATTGTTTACAGCATGCTTGATGCATACATTTTTATAAATTCTTCTATTGAACTTACTTTGACTTCTGACACAGTAATTTGTTTATCCTTAAATAGTGATAACCTTAATTAAGGTAGATAGGGTGTCTTCCTCCATCTTGGATTTTGAAATACCAGAAAACAATCGGTCTAGATCTTTAATAAAATGTGCAAATTTTGAGAGTAGTCGGTAATTCATGTGTAAGAATTTTCATTTTAATATAGAAAAAGACATGTTTTATCAGATTTATGGTTGTATTTTACAAAAAACAGAATACTTTTGTTTAATTCAATTTTTTCCAACTTTGTCACATAAGGGGAGGCAACTCAAATCTAAGGGCAGATAATTCAGATAAAGTTACTTTTACAATAGAATGTGTTAGGAATTTACCTATTTTATTATGTAGCAAGAAAACGGGTCCCGTGACCCCATTTTTTCTTTTTCTTATCTGAAAGCATAATATTAGAACTATCTTCTCATATTTTATCTCAAAATTCTATGGTGTAGTTTTTGTTTTATTTCAGAAAATTGGGTTTTGCATGCATAATCTATACAAAAATCTGTCAATTTTGCACAACCTGTAGCGTAAAAATAAGCCCCGTGACCCATTCTTTTTATTATTTTTTTCAAAAAAGCATGAAATAAACAACATTTTGGCAAATTATTAAAAAATTCTATGGATTATAATTTAGACACCCCATCTACCTTAAGACATGTACACTTTTTACATTAATAATTATTACAGGTATAGAACACATTTGACACCTTACAATTAATTGATAGGGCATTCACACCAGTCCTTTTTGAGACAAATCACACAAGCTGACAAAATGTTATTGATGGCACTGTTTCAGATTTCCAGAATTCAGTGTCTTAAGTTTTTTTTTACATTAAACATATAGGGAAAAAAGTCGGTACTTTTACATCAGTTTTGAGAAGTCTGTGATGATTGATATACCAGAAGTTCTACTTTATTTGAAAACACGGTTTTAATTTGTTTGTGACATTTTTTAAATTACCATATAGAGTGTACCTCTGTTTATTGTTGGAGGCAAGATCTTTATATCAATGCGAGTAAACTTTCAGTAGCACCATCAGAAAACAAAAAATAACTTCTGTTCATAAAATATCCTTTAAGCTCTGTCATAGCACTATACATTATACGATAAAGAGTGAGTACACCTGAGAAATGTGTGTTATCTTAGTCTTAGTACAAATAAAAAACAGGTAGAGTGAACTAAAATAACAACAAATTCTATTACCAGTAATGTCCTTTACTATAAATCACCTGTTACCTTAAAAATAAAAAAAATGACCTTGACAATTTGTAGGTAGATCTTACATGGTCAATAATAGACTTCAATTTGAAACAATTAAGTTTCCAAGTGTCTATGTTTCCTTTAAAAAAAATATATATATCACTACTACTTATTGACTTCCTATTTTAAGACCCTTTATATTACTGATAGCACTTACACAATTTTCTTGATACCTACATTCAGTTGGTTAATAACACACAACCTGCTATAAGTTTTTAATTAATATTTTTATCATGTATAAAGTTTTAAATTCATTTACAGGTTGAAAAAATTCATAGTACACATCTGCTTCATATAAAAAAGGAGTACTTCTACAAGGTAAATACAAAATTACTATGTCGAACACAATTATTTGGCCACAACCACTTTTCAAATTATTTTCACGGTTAACATTCCCATGTTGACATGTTGTGTTCATATCTTCTGCACTCAAGAGTTGTTATCAGAGAAGGATATTGATAATATAATAAAATAATTGATCATATTATACACTTATTTACAATAGCAAGTTTATTGTTCCCGAGACACAAACTATTTCAGGACGCAAAGTGGAGGGAAATAGTTTGTGTCAAGTGGGACAATAAAATTGCTATTGTCTGAAAAGCCAGTACATTTGGTGTACCGGTAAATAAGTGTTTTATTATACAGAAAGAAGCCGGTATATATTTCAGGAAAATGAAACATTATTCTTTTTAACCTGCACCTCTTACAAAGAAAATATTTTTGGGACAACTATCATTTTTTAATTTGAAGCGGACAAAGTAAAAATTCCGCCAACCTTTAAACTTCATTGACGTCATAAATAAAAATCTATGGAAATGCATTGCTAACGTCATAAACAAGGCTGTTTGTTTACAGAATTTCCCTTAAAAATGAAAATGTTTGCTTCCAGTAATAAGTTCATATCCAGTAAATAGTTTTTAAAACTATTTAGCGGTAAAAAGTCTTTTTCAGACAATTTCATAAAATTCGTCTATAATTTTATAAAGAAAATACATACTGAGGTATAATAAATTGTCACACTGACAGCATCTTTTTACACAAAGTACTATTATCTGACAAAACAGGTTTTATCTACTTCACAAAATATGCATTATGTGATAGCTAGCAGAGACAGAAATTGATATAATATTGTAGAAAAATGGTTAAAGCAATGCTTTTCATGGAACAGTACAGGGCATCTAATACATGTATATTCTTAACATTTATATGATACACTGCATCTAATATATTCTTAACAATTATATAACTAGGAACCACAAATTTAAGCATAACTAGGGAATGATCAATCTTTAAAATTATAATTCAAATGATATGTAACAAATAAGTTAAGTCTCAATATTTGATGACACTGACTAAGTGTCACAGTTAACAGATCTTTGATCATGAGAATGTAATGGAACTATCTCTGGCTTCATATTTCCTACAAAATACAAAAAAATGGATTTATTAAGGATAAGAAAATACAATCAGAAATGAGTTTAGCCCCCAACAATTGTTCTGTTTCCTGCTTCCCTATATACCCATCCTAAATTTTCATGCTTTAATACTTTGACACATTTTATGGACATTTTGGTTAAACACTGTCCAAAATATTTCCCTATATACTGTAAATTCAGGAATTTTTGCATACACTTTTTATTGCGATTGTTGAGAGCAATGGACAAAATGTGAGATTAAGATTACAGGACATTCTGCATTCAAATAAAATTTTTATTTTTGCAAAATCTTTCCCATGGCAGTCTACCTAACAATGATTTCTGAATTTACAGTAGTCTATGTAAAATATTTTTTCTAATATAAAATTATTTTACCAACCAATTATATAGTTCATATTTATTGCCTGCATATAGATTAACACTATGTGTTGAACCATAAAATACAAGTCAACTTCAATATTTTTTTGAAACTTAGACCATGAAATACAGGTCAAATTCGTATTCAGAAGCTGTGACATTTCACAATCAATGTTATGCCCTTTAGTTACCTATAAAATTGGTATCTCTTTGGTTTCCAGATGATAATTAAGGTGTAGTTGTAAGTTGTACCACTTGCCCAAATCATTTGAAATTTTGACACAATGTCATGAATCATAAAAACAGGTCAAGTTTAAACATTCATTGTTCAAGAAGTATGCCCATAGTTATCTTAAAATTTTGATCCCCCCCCCCCCCCCCCCCCCCCACCCACAAGCGATAGTGAAAGTGCAGTTTTACAAAATCTTTTTAGATTTTAACGCAATATTATGAAACATAAAGTATAGGTAATGTCCAATCTAAATTATGGTTTTTGCCAAGATTACCACATGTACCAGATTCTAGTTAGTTTCTGTTTTTGCTTACATATATATATATATATATAGCATTTGTTTATTGAACTGTAAATCAATATTGCTGTACCTTTGTATCCCTTGATTGCTTTTTCACGTTGATCAGCATCATAATACCATACTGTTATTGCATATCTATAAAACAAAAATAACATAGTTTTTCTTACATTCCATAAAAAAAATAACTATACAAATGAACACAAAAAGGATAAAACACATCATTTCAGGGATATAGCTCTTATTAGGACTGATTATAATGTCAGTTATGTTTACTTATTTGTTGATCTTTTTTGCTGTTTGAATGGTTTTACACTAGTCATTTTTGGTGCCCTTTATAGCTTGCTGTTCGGTGTGAGCCAAGGCTCCGTGTTGAAGGCCGTACTTTGACCTATAATGGTTTACTTTTACAAATTGTGACTTGGATGGAAACTTGTCTCATTGGCACTCATACCACATCTTCTTATATCTGTATACACTTTATTATAGTTTTCAAGAAATTGCCAAAAAACAAAAATGGGTGAAAATTGTCATTTAATGTTAATATGAGTCTATTGTCCATTACGGTCATGTTGACTTAGTTGTAGATCTTATTTTGCTGTGTGATAGTTTCTCTCTATTAACTTTATTAAAACAAAAATGGTAAAAATTTTCATTGAAGGGTAGTTACTCTTGTAAAGAGTTGCTTGACAATTTCAGATGTATTGATTTATTTATATGTTTTGGAGTTTAGTGTGACATCCATTTTCATTGAACTAGTACACATTTTTGTTTAGAGGCCAGCTGAAGCCCCCCTCCGGGTGCAGGATTTTCTCGCTGTGTTGAAGACCCATTGGTGGCCTTCGGCTGTTTTCTTCATTTTGGTCGGGTTGTTTTCTCTTTGACACATTCCCCATTTCCATTCTCAATTTCATAGATCTTGACATTTTTGCTATAAAAAGTTAATATCTATAACAGTTTTCGTGAACATAGCAAAAAACTATGAAATTAGCTAAAAATGGACATAACTACCTCTTAAATAACTAGAATATCACAATTAATCAAGATTGATAGTCTGTCTGCATGTTGGTGTTTGAACAACACTTTCAGCCAACATGGCTATATCAATATTGGCAGCCAGTTTTTATTGGTGAAGGAAGTCAGAGTACCTTTAGGGAACCACCAACGCTTTGCAGGCAGCTGGCAACCCTTGTCAATTAAGATTGGATTCCAACACAACTTGCCATAAGAGAGGTTCCAACTCAAAACCTCTGAGTTGACAGACTAGTAATCACTGTAAATGCACTCTGACCACTGAGCCACCAAGGCCTTGAGATAAATAAGCAGACACCAATGTCTAAATTATGCTGGTGGTCAACAGTAGGTTTCCATTCACAAATTTTACTGCCACTTAATAATTATGAACAACACAAAATCAACTTGAATAAAAATATTTTGCATGGGTCTGACTGAAAATAAAATATTTTTCATAAAAAAGTTAAGGGATAAGTGCTGTGTTATAATAGAATAGAGAATGGCATATATACTATTCATGTAGTGTCATACAACAAAGGATTACATCTTTTCTATTATGATTTAAGGACTGTGTCACGGATAAGGCTTAACCTTTTCCTAAACTGAGCTCCAAATTTCTTTCAAATCCTACTATTATGGAAAGGGTCAATATTGAATTTAGGGTAACCACTATCATAAATCTACCAAAATTTTTAAATGAACAGACTTTTGGGTTAGAACAATCAACTTAACAGTGAAATTTCCACAAAGCTCAATCTTCAAACAAAGAGTCAAAATTTAGAAAAATGAATACATAATAATATAGTAATGTATATTTCAGAATTAAGGTTACTTACAAGTACTAACTAGTTCTATTAAATATATACTACTAATGTTAAACTGTATTCAACTAACAAATGTTAAAATGTTCAATAAAGTATGATGCAATCTAAAAAAAAAAAACAATACAAAAACAAATAAAATGCTCCGCAGGGCGCAGCTTGATACAACCGCAGAGGTCGAACCCTGAACAGTTGGGGCAAGTATGGACACAACATTCAAGCTTGATACAGCTCTGAATTTGGATTGTGATTAAATATTTGACACAGCACAGGTTTCTGACACAGAATGAATGTGGTCTAAGAACTTAAAAATTTTAAATTGGACATTCACCTATTATGGTCCAATATCTAAAATCTAAATACATGGTTAGATTCAGCATATCAAAGAACCCCAAGAATTCAATTTTTGATGAAATCAAACAAAGTTTAATTTTGGGCCCTTTTGACCTCAATGTGGACAAAGTTGATAACGGGGCCCAAAAATCAAAAATCTAAATACATGGTTAGATTCAGCATATCAAAGAACCCCATATATTCAATTTTTGTTGAAATCAAACAAAGTTTAATTTTGGACCCCGATTTGGACCAACTTGAAAACTGGGCCCATAATCAAAAATCTAAATACATGTTTAGATTCAGCATATCAAAGAACCCTAAGAATTCAATTTTTGTTAAAATCAAACTTAGTTTAATTTTAGACCCTTTGGACCTTAATGTAGACCAATTTGAAAACGGAACCAAAAATTAAGAATCTAAATACACGGTTAGATTCGGCATATCAAAGAACCCCAATAATTCAATTTTTGATGAAATCAAACAAAGTTTAATTTTGGACCCTTTGGACCTCAATGTGGACCAATTTAAAAACGGGGCCCAAAATCCAAAAACTTAATACACGGTTAGATTCAGCATATTAAAGAACCCCAAGAATTCAAGAATAAAACCCCATTGAAATTGGTCAAGAAATAAGCAATTTATACGAAGTATCTTCTTTTGCACAATACTGTGCAATTGAATATTTCTTGCTATTGCGCAATACTGCACAATTGACAATTTCTTGCTATTGAGCAATATTGTGCTATTGGATATTTCTTGCTATTGCGCAATAGAAGATTTCTTGCTATTGCGCAATACTGTGCAATTGAATATTTCTTGCTATTGTGCAATACTGTGCAATTGAAAATTTCTTGCTATTGCACAATACTTATTATATAATAATTTACACATCCTGTTTGGTGTGTATCTCCTACCATATCATTATTATTTGCTTTTAAATATAAATCAGAAATAACTTAAAATGGAAAATTTTAAAAGAAAAAAAATAGGAAAAAAAAAAAAATCCCCCCCCCCCCCCCAAATTTTTTGAACCCCCTTATGATTCATCACCCCAAACTCAATCCCAGCCTTCCCTTTGTGGTATGGTACCTTGCAGTACAATTTCAGAGAGATCCATACACTTGAACACAAGTTATTGTCTGGAAACTAGAAAAATTCTTATTTTTGGCCCCTTTTTGGCCCCCAATTCCTAAACGTTTCCGGCAATTACCCCCAAACTCAATCCCAGCTTTCCCTTCGTGATATGGAACCTTGTAGTACAATTTCAGAAATATCCATACACTTACACACAAGTTATTGTCATGAAACTAGAAAAATGCTTGTTTTTTGCCCCTTTTTTGCCCCTAATTCCTAAAATTTGAGGCAATTACCCCCAAAATCAATCCCAGCATTCCCTGTGTGATATGGAACCTTGTGGTACAATTTCAGAGAGATCCATACACTTGAACACAAGTTATTGTCTGGAAACTAGAAAAATGCTTATTTTTGGCCCCTTTTTGGCCCTTTATTCCTAAATGTTTCGGGCAATTACCCCCAAACTCAATTCCAGCTTTCCCTTTGTGATATGGAACCTTGTAGTACAATTTCAGAAAGATCCATACACTAACACACAAGTTATGTCTGGAAGTTACAAAAATGCTTATTTTTTGCCCCTTTTTGGCCCCTTATTCCTTAACTGTTGGTACCATAACCCCCAAAATCAATCCCAACCTTCCTTTTGTGGTATTGAACCTTATGGTAAAATTTCATAGAGATCCATTCACTTAAACTAAAGTTAGAGTGCGAAAACCAATGTGTCTTTGGACGAAGCAGGACGACGACGACAACGACGACGACCCCAACGTCATACCAATATACGACAGCAAAAATTTTGCGGTCGTATAAAAATTTAGAATGTTAATCCATTACAACACCCCTGCATCAAGATCAGACATTTGAAGTCAAATTTCTGGGTGTTGGTTCATTTAATTTCAGAAACCATAATCCAGAGAGTTTTAATAATTGTTTGGGAAACCCCAGAAATCACTGTGATAAAAAATTAGAATATCAGGTACACCAACTTAATGTCCTGACGAAGAATCTGTGCAAGTTCGGTTAAATTATGTCAAGTTGTTTTCAAGGCGTTACGGATTAACATGAAGTGTGAAGTGGATAATGGGATTATGACACAGACAAGATGAGTGATCCTTATATGTGGCTAGCAAAACAATAATCTAACTATATATATGTACTTCATTTGGTCACATGGAAACTAAAATTAGCAAGAAAGGACAAGGACAAGGTTGTACCATTATATACTATAAAAGTTGCTGTTACAAAAATGAATGATTTACGAGGAATACACAACTTAGGACTTTTAGGAGCCAATCTTCCATGGTCTTTTATATTTATCGTTTATATTCCTTATTATATTTTTTTAAATGTAAAATTTTGTGGTTAAAAAAAGGTGTATAAAGAATTCCAATAGCTCTTTACAATGCATTGTGTTATATATTATAAATAATGAGATACGTGAACGTGACCCATTGCAACTGATAACTTATCTACTAAATGCACTATGGAATGCACTTTTGCCACGTGACCAATAAGTATGCCTAAAACAAACACTTTTATCCTATTTTTAAACGGATAAGGTTTTATAGTTTTTTTAAACTTCAGAGACAAGTACAACATCTTATCAAAATTACATAACCGAATTTCTTCATTTAAAAGTACTTAAAATACATGTCTCATTTGTTTTAAAATCAGTATAAATACTGTTGTCATACTGTTAAGTAAGTTTTAGAAGCAGATGCATGATTCCATGTTTGGGAGAAATAATAAGAGTTTGAAATGTAAAGTAAGCTGCTCTCTGTACATACCTTTTTGTAGTGATGCACTTTATGTTTAATTGTTAATTATCTTCTGAGAGGAAATAAAATTGTAAATACTATGGAAATAAAAAACAAGAGTGCACACGCTGAAATG